GGTCAGCCTCGGAGAGGGGTCCCTGCCCTCTCCGACACAGAAAGGAAGCATGAAGATGGGCAAGGCGGAGCTGATGCCCTATTTTTCTATGAGAAAGAAATGAGGCGTATGAATCTTCTCAAGATGGGCAGGAATGCAAGGGCTGCTTATCAAGAAATGGAAGACCTAGCTTGGGACAGACCCGGCGTGAATCTGGCTCTCCCGTTTCCAGCACTGGCACCCTAGGCCGGCCACGTATGCTCTGAGCCTGTTTGTTCTTCAGCAGATACGGGGTAAAAACGCCCGTGGTTGGCATGTTATTTAGAAGACTAAGTTTAAGTGAGATAATGTATTCAAAATATCTCAAATAATTCCTGGTACATAACTGGCACTTCACAAACGGACAATGACAACACAGCCATGTTTGAGATTATTCCTTTAGAAGGTGGGGAAGGGTGCAGATCATGCCAACAACCTAATTTGAGTAACTTTTATTCTGCTTGAAAACTACTGCTTGTAGACTTATAAGAGCTGTAGTATTAGTATAAACAACATAATATGCAGAGTTCTAGCAGTTTAGAATCAAGAACTTCAGAGAGAAAGAAGTGATCTGACTGAAGCTGCAGGAATCACTGTAACAGCTCTAAGAGGAGGCGATATTTCTACCCTCACAGGTAATGACCTCCGGGTGAAAATAAACCAAAGTGAGGGAGGGAAAGCTGGTATCGGAAGAGCTCCCACAAAACGGTCCTGAGAATTCACGGAAGGTGGAGGCTCCGGAGGCTGAGGGGCCATCACACTCCACACGCTCAGGTGCCACCAAGCGACGCCTGTTTCACGTGTTGCGCTGGGTTTCTTGAAGCGAAACCATTACCCCCTTCCCTTCACCCCACGTGATACCGTTATACCAGTTCCTAACTCAAGTTGCTAGGTGACAGTTTCAGCCTGACTTTATTTGTGTTACCAGGCATTACAAACTAAATCTGGGCTTTTCATGCTATTGGTCAATTAACATTTAGAAATTAATCTTTTTTGCCTTCTCCGTATGTCCAGTTCCCACAAATCCCCAAGTGGCGGGACTGTTTGATCACAGCTACTCAAGTCTCTCCACCACAACAGCACCTAACGGCAGCGAAAACAAACCCCTTTTCTTTTGCTTAATCTCAAACGACTGAAGAAAACTATTATGAAATATCTAAGGGTGGACTATCCAAATACTGATTAACTCCAGGGACGTAACAAATAGCAGAAAAGAAGAATATTCTCATTAATTTTAAAAAGTAACTAAGAAATGAGATGCAAGAAAGATTATTTACTGGTTAGGTACTTTTTTATAGTAGCTGCATCGGGCCTGGGGTCAGTCTTCATTGCCATATAAACTGCTAGGGCCGTTTGATCTATATGAGAAATAACAGCATCTGCAGCTTCAACAATTTCATTAAGTCTTTTCATCCGTTCCTAGGGAGGAAAAAAAAGAAATAAGGAATGGATGTATCAGCGAGTACACCAAAGTACCTTCATTTCTGTCGTCCTAACCGCGAGAGTCACAACTCCGGAGTGAGGGGGCTGGGCAGTCTCCTCGGAGCCCAGAGGGCTCTGTGCTGCCCGTGCTGTGATTTTGCCACGATGTCAGCATCGCGGACCTGAGCTCAGACGGGGAATACCCAAGACACATCCTCACTGCCGTTGGATGGTGAGGGTGGGCAAGATAAAGGGTTCACAGAAACGTAGTGCTTTCTACCAAGGCAACTCCTTTTCTGGGCATCTTAGAAACACGACTGGCTAGGTTACTCCAGTCACACACCACATGAAAACAGAATGGAAAAAAGCACCTGCTGATGAACATTCTTCCTAGTTTATTATTAAAACCACAAAGATGAGAGTAAACAAGAATAGACCCAACAGAGTCTAACTACAATCACCACGGTGCTCGTGGTGCTCTTAGTAATTTGCTCCTCTTGTGAGTCTTAGAGGTCTCCTTTCAACACCTTCAAGTTTAATCTGAACCCCGGATAATTTTTAATTGTTTATGGCTAGCACTTTCCTACTGGCAACATTAATCAACGAGAGCTGTTAAGACAGTTTGGAACGATGGCCAGTTCTTAAAAATTAGCATCAGTAACAAAGTTAATGCAAAGTAGGAGTTCTTTGTTTGCTGCAGGTCTTTAGATCTGCAGCAGGCCAGGACCTGTGCCCTGGAGGTGAATGTCAGAAAAGCAACCCTCAGGATATCTTACCTCCTTAGTCTTCCCACTGACCAAAAATATGAGCGGGAATTCTACGCTGAACTCAGAGTAATGGCTAAGTCCTGTAATTACCTTAATGAAAATAGTTAATATCTGAGAAACAAACTGAGGGTTCTAGAGGGGAAGGGGTGGAGGGATGGGTTAGCCGGGGGTGATGGGTATTAAAGAGGGCACGTATTGAATGGAGCAAACAATGAATCATGGAACACTACATCAAAAACTAATGATGTAATGTATGCCGATTAACATAACATAATAAAATAAAAAAAAGTTAACAGAACATGCAATTTGTAGAAACATGTTTTCATTTGGCAAGAACACAAGACAAATATAAGGCTGCATTTTTATTCAATGTATAAACTTTATCTAATGTTACAAACAAAATGAAATACTCATATTAAGAATGAACATGTCCAACCTTTTCAGCATCCAACTGATGAAGTCTTGCAACATACAGAGGAAGATAATTAGGATATGTTTCTTTCAATTCATTATAAATGTCACTAGAATCCAGCCTATGTATATAAGAAAGAGAGAAACATATTTTGTTTCTTTTAGAAAGAAAACAATTTCTGTCTTCCCTATTATTTAACACTGCTTTGAAGTTCCAGTCCATAACATAAGGCATCAATCTGAAACATGAGTATCATTACTGAGGATTATCATTATTTGCAGTAGTATAAATATGCTTAACCTAGAAAAACCAACTGTAAGAATCAAGTTTTCATACATGCTAGGTATAGATGTATAAAGAGGAGGAAAAAACATTCATATAGCAAGAAAGATGAAAAGATCTAGAAATGTCCAAAATGTATAAGAAAAATGTAAACTTTTCTGAAAAATCTGAAGTCTTGGATGAGTGAAGAGACATTCTGCGTTCTTGAATGGGGAAGCTGAATAAAGCTGACTAACTGGGTGATGAGGAGCAGTAGTCTGGGGTCTTCCTGGCTTGCCTTGCCTGCCCTGAAACCACCACTCCCTGGGCTGGGCTGGGGGGGCCCCAGTGTTCTCAGCAGCACCACCCTAAGGCAGGCCCTCTGTTCCGCGCCCCACCCCCGCCCCCCCACTGGCTCATCACTCCGCCTCAGCGCTTCTCCCAGGAGGAGAGTCCCCTGTCTGGGAGCTGAGGGGCGAGGGAGCCTGTATTCCTGGCTGCGAGTGGCCTGGATTCGAGGAGGCGTGTCCCTGAGCTGGCGGTGTGGAAGCAGGGAGTGGCCTGGGCTCAAGTACCACAGATTCTCACTTTTCTTCCCAAACTACAGATGTTCTTGAATAGGTGTTTCTTCATCCTTTGCTGTATGCCCTTACAATCATCTCCAGAGGTTTTAAAAGGCTGATTTTTTAAAAAGGATTTTCACTAGTTTCCGGGGGATTGGGTTCCTGGGACTCCTCACGCTTCTGTGCCAGAAGTCAATCTCTGCCGTTTCACTTTTGAAGGATTTACATTGTATTTTCAACTGTTTACAACATCTTACTATCAGCCAGAGACTGACTGACAGACAGACTTTGACTTCTGGTGGAGACGCAGTCTAGTTTTTAAGTGGAAAAGTTAAGTCTGAATGTAGACAGACCCTGTAACCGGTTCAATCCCTGGGAATTATTTTCACGATATGATGACGTCTGTTCTCTAGAAGAGCTCAAGACTGCAAGGATGCACACATGTTCAGCTAATGAGGACTCCCATGGAAAAGCAGTGGTCAGAGAAATACTGCATAACACAAATGGAAAAAGCAATCCATTTGATTAGAGAAAATAAATTTCTACTATGTAAAAAGTAAGCTAAAAGTAAAAAAATAAGCTGGGGGAAAAATGTGTACAAGTACAGCAAAGCATTAATATCTTTTATGTTAAAAAGTTAAAAGAAAAATCTGCTGTCCCAATAGAAAAACAGTACAGAATATGTTCAACTGACAGCACCTACACCAAGAATGCAATGACAGCATTTAAAAACCCCAAATGCAAACCAGCATTTCATAACTTAAGAAATGCAATTTAAGACCACGATAATGGCCTTTTCTTTTTTCGCCCTCTAGCAGCAAGGCTTTGTTTTCAATTCCACGGCGTAATAGGCTCCGCCATACACCACTAGAGGGAGTAGGAATTGTGACCTTCCCTCTAGAAGGCAATCTGGCAAAACACTTATCTAGGTGATTTTTTAAGTGTTAATAATACGGATTCAATAATTATACCTTTAAGATGCGATCTGATGGATATTTAAAGAAACTACATGTATAAAAATGTCCATCACGGCACCATAGAGAAAAGCTATAAATGTGGATGCCAAAAAGAGTATTTAAGTGGGTTATATTTCTTCAACAAGACCGCATACCACATAGTCATTAAAATGGCATTTTAAAGGACTATTAAATGACCTAAGAAACACCCAAAATCAAATAGTAATTAGAAAACTAGGACACAACATCATTTACACTGCTACATGCATAACTACAGAGAAAATAATAATAGGACAATGATTACCTTTGGAGAGTAGGCAAAAAATGGATTTTTATTTTTTTTCTTTTAATGCTTGTCAGTAAAATTCTCTTCCAAGAACAAATCAGAATTAAGTGGTTAAAATAAAAGCCCCTGTAACCTTACCACCCAGTTAAACTTACTTTGTCATCCACTGAATTTTAAGATCTCGTAATGCTTCAGTGAACTCTTCTTTTAAATCTTTCTCTTTTTCTGAATCTTTTTCTTTATCTTTGCTGCCATTCTTAGTCTTTGTTGGCGGAGGTATTAGGTAGTAATGAACAGGGATCACATCCTATGAATGTGGAGAGAGTCTCAGATTAACAGGCTTAATTTTACGTATTTCAAAATCATCTTCAGTACCTGAGTATCTCAGAACACGGGCTGCCCTGAGTTGTACTACAACATATTCCAGATCCTAAGGGCCACAAAACATAAAAAAATCCCAATCTGTGATCAAAGGAATCTTCTCCCAAACTTTAAATTACTGATGCTTCTGAATCTCCTTTAAAATAAAGATGCAAGGGGTGCCTGGCTGGCTCAGTCGGTGGAGCATGCGACTCTTAATCTTGGGTTGTGAGTTCAAGCCCCACATTGGGTGTAGAGATTACTTAAAAATAAAATCTTAAAAAAGTTAAAATAGAGGAGGTAAGAACAAACTTTCCTCCATTTGAGGGTATTTGGTATTCTTAGTTTAACTTGACAGACTGGATTACGGAAAATGCTAATTACCAAAGTCTACTGAGCTTTCATATCTTCTACTTGAAAAGGGAAGGAAATAACTTACAATTTTTAAAAAGATCCTCTTTTCTACATAAATTTAAAGAGAAATCTCTTCATTCCATCAAGAGGACTTACTGAGGCCCTGTGACGTGCTAGGTAATGCTCTAAGAGGTGAAGGGCAAAGCAGACAAGGCCCTCTCTTGCCCCCCGGGAACATATCCTAGTGGGGGAAGACAGACAACATATAGGCAGTGAATCGTTTCAGAAGACACCACATGATATGGAAAAAATGAAACAGAACGCAGGGACAGAGAGCGGCTGCCCGGTGAGGTGGGGAACAATGCGGGCAAATGGTGCTGGGAAGCCACTCTGAACAGGGAATATCCCATCTAAGTGAACGAACCTCTGTGGACCTAATTAACCAAACTGAGGTGAAGAAGAAGTGTCTGAAGACAGAAGACGGGCACATGCAAAGCCCGGAACTTGTGTACAGGGCAAGCGCAGCTGGAGACAGTGGACACGTGGGCAGCAACCACAGGGACTGGGGCTGATAGAAGGTAGTACCAAAATACAGATTTTATTCTAAATGCAACTGGAAGCCTACCAGGAGAGTTGTAGGCAAGGCAGTGAACACGATTCAAGATTTCTGCTTTTTGTTTCATAACTTCATGAAACATGTTCTTCCTACTATTTGGAGAATGGACGATAGAGGGCAGAAGTCGAGAAGGAAGAAGACAAGTTAGGAAGCGAGCCCAGACTCCCAGCACTGCTCTGATCTTTAGATCTGAAGAACAGGCTGTACAAGAGGAGGAAGTGGACGGATTTAGAAATTGTGACGGCAGAACCGACAGTACTTACTGATGGTGTTTAAAATGAGGGGCTAAATAAAACTGGGCAGGACTGGGGGAGGGGAAGAGGAAGCCCAGGCCTTGATCCAAGGCATTCTGCGGTCTCAAAGATGCCCAGCAGTGAAGGAGACAGACGCCAGACGGGCTCCGCGGAGGAGCCAATGGAAAGAAAGAGGAGAGGTCAACCAGTGGCAGTCGTGGAGGTGGTGCCAGGGAGAGGAGGGCGCGGCCACAGAACCGGGCAGCCGTGGCTGGTCCCCACGACAAGAGACGCGGTCTCTGTGCAGAGCGGGGGTGAGGGCTGACCGAGAAAGAGATGCAGAGAGAACAGGAAGTAAAGAAGCTTAGATAGTTCCTTTGAGAAGTTCTGCTTTGAAAAGAGCAGAGAAATGTGTAATTACATCTAATTACATCTATTTCCATCTATTCTGTTAAAGCACATAAGTCTCCACTTGCAAAAACTAACGCAGTATCTGGGAAATGAAATCCTGTTCAGACTCGCTAGATCTGGTTCTGGCACAATAACCAGGTATCCTTAATTAAATCGCGAAGTCAATTTCACCAATTCTAGCTTTAAGTTTACATTAAAAATGCTAAATTAAAACCTTTTTTGTTTTAATCAACAAAATTTCTAAAATCGGGGAAAAAAATACGTACCAAGACTTTTACTCTCCTAATCTCAGTAATTTCAGAAAAAAAACTTTACACAGGTTGAGACAAAAAAATAGTATTGTAAGCCCCCACCTTCCCCTAAATAGGATTTTTAGGTGTAAATACAGCATACTTATGCACATGTTAACAATTTTCACAACTAAATTTTATTTTGGGGTAAAATTATAATAGTAAATATAAGGAACTACTGTTGCAGTAGTTCTAACAGCATTCCAACATAAAACAGTACCTACTACTTCAGTATGACTCCTTTAACACACATAAAACCACTCATGTGACATAACCACACAAATCCGCTTTCAGCCATGTCAGTGCCATGCTCTGTCTGAGGCCAGGAGCCAGCGCCTGCAAGCCAAGGTCGCATGTGCAGTGTGGGATGGGGCAAAAGAAGCAGGGTTCTGCTTGGGCAAGCTCCTCAGGACCCTGCTACCCATCCTTCTTCCCTCCTCTTGAGTTCACTTTCCTAGGTGCTGGGGCGAAAAGTGTCTGCAAAATTGGGAGTTGCTAATTAATCACCAAGCTCTTATGGGAACAGATCATTTCCATATCATCTGTACAGCACAGATAATATACTGAAGAACTCGAGGGGCAGAGACAGCCCCCAACATTTACCCTCTGTTCATGTAGTCCTGTACTTCCACAGCACTAGAACAGGGACGACACTTGCCTGGAGGAGGAAACTCGGCAGTCCATGCTGATTCTAACCTAACGTGAGCCTCCCTTAGTCCCCCCATCCTCGACTGATTAGGGAGAGGGGCAACTTTCAGGATGGGAAGGAAGTCTCCGTTGCGAGGCAATTCCTCCACTGAAGCTCAAAGGTAAGGCATTTGCTATTATGTTTTAGTACAGAAGAGAGAAAACAGAATTGAATTTAAAATGAGCAATCCATTAAACTTAATTTATGATTAACAATAAACTCTAAGAAAGATCTATAAATAGAAAAAAACCCTGTACCATGGCAACCATAAACTGTCACTAAAAACTAAAAGCACAAGAGACAGGGAGAGTTTGTGATGAATGACCTTGTGTGTGCGGGGGCGGGGGGGGGGGTCAAGGTTTTGTGATCAGCATTTTGTATTTAATATATAAAATATGATATACTTAAATATATCAAATTAGCAATTATAAGTGTTACTATAATCCTAACAAAATATTTCAGGACAGTAATTTTTTATTATTAAAAATTACAAACATGGTAGTTTTAATTCCTAATCAAAAGAAAAATGGAGTTATTTTTTGTTTTATCATGTTCACCAGTTCTTTTTGTATTTTTTCAACTTGCTTCTTGAGGACTTAGTATAGGGTCAATTTAATAGAAATCATTTTGTACTATTAAGTCTTGAGAAACTTTGATTACGATTTAAAAAGATAGTCAACAGCAATCTTCAGAGCAGAAATGCTGAAGTTCTTTATAGTAGCTACTTAAGAGTAAGTTTTCTAGGGCGCCTGGGTGGCTCAGTTGGTTAAGCGACTGCCTTCGGCTCAGGTCATGATCCTGGAGTCCCTGGATCGAGTCCCGCATCAGGCTCCCTGCTCTGCGGGGAGTCTGCTTCTCCCTCTGACCCTCCCCCCTCTCATGTGCTCTCTCTCATTCTCTCTCTCTCAAATAAATAAATAAAATCTTTAAAAAAAAAAAAAAAAAAGTAAGTTTTCTAAAAAATCATATTATTTCTGCTAGTCACCGAGTATTCTGACAGTGTTTGGACAATATCCTTGAAAGTCAAATCTACCTGCAAAACTCATAATTATTCTTTGGATAACGTAACATACCGCCGTTTAAATTTTGGTTCAAAAATTACAATTTCCTTAAGTTCTTAAGTTATTAACAACTAAATTCAAAACTTTAATACCTTTACACAAACTAAAATAGTTATTTTAAAGATTAAAATCATACTGGAATGCTATTTATCATGTTAAAAGTAACTATACTCCTTCATATGATGATGAACTTAAAAAATGTAACCTGCATTTGCCAAATCGAAAGTCACTGAGACCCAAAGGACAAATCCATTGAGGATTATGCACCAAAAGCTAGTTGGTATTTTGTTCTGACAATAAATTAATATATAGATCTTTCTGGTAATGAGACTATAAAGCAGGGAGAACTGGGAAGAGGTAACTGTAGTTGCCCAAGTTCTTTATATATAAAGCTTTCCTAACCATCAAGTAATAATAACCTTCCTATTCACTTAATAGTTTCCTATCTTATACAATCTGATCCAAACAAAATCCACGAAAACTCCCAAAAGGTCAACCAAAATATACAACAGGAAGAAAAAACCCCAGCTATGCTTTTGTGATAAGCACCTTTTATTTTTAATGGGCTCCTAGAAGACCTTTTCCTCATTTTCTAAAGCAGTGGCTTTCAAGCTATTTTCAGGATGACCCAAAGATAAAAAATCTATAAATAAACAGAAATTTGTTTTATGAGTCTGATGAATGACATTTCCTACTTTATTGTTTTCATGTTAAAGCTGGTTATATTTCATGAATGTACACGGCCCACAAATGGGTCACAACGCTCAGCTGAGAAACACTGGCCTACGGTGAAGTAGATATTCCTTTAACTGGAGAGATGACTCCCAGTGGGGCATTTCGCTTGAACAAAGTGTTTACCGCTACATGACAATATAAAATTACAGAAGTCTTTTAAATAAAGGAACTTCATCTGTTCTAAAATGGTGATCCCCAGTTTCACATCACTGTGAATTAAGAAACAGAGTTATCTCTTATTTATACTTCAAAATAGAAATTCTCCTTGCAAAGCTTCCTGCCTGCAGAGGAGATCACTAACATGCTAAACGATGCCAGAGAGTGGAGTCTGTCTATCCCTTTCACTAAGTGCACTCGAAGTACAATTCTACTTTTTTTCGTTAAATTTGGCTCTAGCAGTCAATCAGAGATTGTCTAATAAGTTGTAGGAAGTTATGTTCTCAGTGTCAACTTTAACCCGGGGTGGACAGTCCTTGTGCCTGGGCCCCTGGCCACTGCTCTGTCTCTGCTCCCCCAGCACCACGACACAGAGCAGGGAATAAACTTTTTTTTCAAATTCCGTAGTAATATTTTAATAATCAAATCATCCAACTTAAGAATGTTTTTAGACTTTAAAAAGAATTGTTTTGGCTTATATAGCTAAGACAAAAAATTACATTCATTTCTCTGTAGGATTTTAGATATGCAAAATTTCAAATATTACTATTTGGTATCATATCTGTGACTAAGAGATGAAGAGCAATAATTTTTTTTTCTAGACACATGTAAAACAGGGGTCTTCCAGCGATTTATGGCAGGAAAAAAACGCTTCAGGAAAGCAGTATGTCAACACTGACAAGCTATAAGCACTATACTGCAGAACTTAAAGAAAGGAAACTAAGGGAGAGATTTTTTAAAAAAAGATTTATAATAGGTGACAGAAAAAAAAGTTTAACTAATATGCAAATAAGGCTTTAAGACATCTTTTTTAAGAACTGACAATCAGTACCTTTTTAAATTTTCCTTGTCGTTTTGCTGCAGACTGCCCCTGGGAGTTAGAAGGACATTCTGTAAGAAAACATGCACAATCTACACAGGATGGAGACACCACCTCTGTCTAATTGTCTTCCAGTTTACGTCCCACCTGTGTGTGTCTCCGTACTTAGAAGGGTCAGGTCTACAATCAAAATGGCAGGCTTTTAAAGAAAGCAACACTGCCACTTTCACTTTAATAAAAATGCAATCAAATAGGTTATTCCTAAGGGCAAATGTTTTTCAACTCTGTATTTGAAAACTGAGTACAGTAAAATCTATTAGTTATCAAAACACTTTTAAAAACATTAAATTTAGCTGACAGTCTAGAGTCGGATTTCAAGGACGTCACAACGATCACATATGCCCAGGCATCATCATTCAAGGTGACCGTGAGAGGCAGAAGTAAAACAACACTCACCTTCCCAACTACCAAACCGGTGAGAAATGCAAAACTATGAGATAAGATTAAACAAACAAGGTGCTGGCAAGTATAATTAACTCTATGCCTTTAGGTTTTTGCTCTCTCTCAAGAAAATCTATCCCATAAGTAATTACCTGGTAAGTAGTAACTCCAGTTAATCCCATACTTTTATAATTTATGCCTCTGAAAGAAGTAACTATCTCTGAATGGCTAAAAGTGCAGTTTTAATAACAATGCTTTTCTGTCATATCAATCCAAGGAAGCAGACACCTGAGAAGAGTTATCTGGGTGAGAATCCCATCTCCCCATCTAGGGAGCCCCACAATTGGAAGCAGCCCTGCTGCCCAGGAAGCGAAGCCTACAAAAAAAGACTAGGACTTCTTAAATCAGCGCATCTATGAATTCCAGTATCAGTGACTACTGATTCACTTCAAATGATACTAAAGTGTATATATAAATAAGTACAGTTGACCCCTGGACAACACGGGGGCTGGGGACACTACTTCACCCCCCAGCTGAAATTCCTTGTATAGACTCCCCCAAAACTTAATTACAAACAGCCTACTGTTGACTGGAAGCCTTAACGATAACATAAACAGTCAAATAACATATTATTTTGTATATATTCTTATGTTAACGTAAGCTAGAGAAAATGTTATTGAGAAAATCACAAGGAAGAGAAAATATATTTATAGTACTGTACTATATTTACTGGAAAAAAAACCCCACATATAAGTTGACCGCGCAGTTCAAACCCATGTTGTTCATGGGTCAACTGCAGTATCGACTGAAATGAGACTCAAGAAATGTCAGGGCAAACGATTTTTTCAAAGCACAGAATTCCTAAGTTATGCCTCTAAGACACCAGTAAGTGACTTCTGGTTCAACAGCGGCAAGAAGTAAGTATACTTGTTAAGATGCAAGAAATCCATTCAACTTGGTAATGGCATTTATGATTCCAGCATCAGGTAGTAGACCACTATGTAAGAACTGATGCTGAGGAGAAATGCAAAACTGTAAGAATGACAACTTTACTGGCATTGAACTAATATGATGACAGAAGGTGACAGATCCACATAAACACTATTCTCATAATAAATATATAATGAAAACAGATGGAAAAGTTAAAATAGGTACCTATCCAGTTGTAATGTTTATCTCTACAATGTAAAAACCAGAAACATGTTTTTAATAGCATGATTTTAAAACTATAAAATAAAAGGCAATGCCAAAAGAAATACTCCTAATTATCTACACAATTATGCAAAATTCCAACAAGAGAAAGGTCTGTACAAGTGAGGAAAAATACTGCTCGTTAGAAATGATATGACTAGTTTTCTAGAAGTAGCCCAAGAAGACCTGACTTATTTTTATATCCACAATATTATGTTGGTTAAAATCCTATAAAATGTTCTAATTTTAAACATCCCATTCACTTAAGCCAAGTTTAATCTGGACCTACATGTTTCAAGGGAAGTTCAAGTATATTAGTCATGAAAGGTAGGACCAGTTCAGGGCCAAGTACTTAGGTCTGGGGAAAAAGAATACTAAATATTTTAAAATACAATCAAATCTTAATTGACCTTTACTGGTAATTTGGGAAAAAACTACTCAATTTTTTTCCCCCAGGGAGAGCTTCTCTTTTACCCATTCTAAAGGGTTAGATTAATTCCCATCTTTTAAAGGAATGGAAATTTTGGAATAGGTAATTACAGTGTTTAAAAAAAAAAAAGAAAGGAGGGGGGCCTGGGTGGCTCAGTCGTTAAGCATCCGCCTTCGGCTCAGGTCATGATCCCAGGGTCCTGGGATCGAGCCCCGCACTGGGTTCCCTGCTCCACGGGAAGCCTGCTTCTCCCTCTCCCACTCCCCCTGCTTGCGTTCCCTCTCTTGGTTAAATAAATAAAATCTTTGGGGAAAAAAAAAAAAAGGATACTTACAGCTTTCTTCCCAAGTTCAGTCTTTGATAATGTTAAGGATCCTGCAAGGTAGCATCCAGGTCCTGCCCCTTTAGGTATTCTAGTAAGAAAGTTCAAAAGAGAAAAAAAGGAACTAAAGAGAAAGTCTCAGAAAGAAAATCAAGGGGCAAAACATCAAAACAATCGCATTCTGAAATAATTCCCACAGCTCAGATTTCCAAAATCAAAGGGAGAAATAATCTTAGTCTAAAATGGTAAGTGACAACATACCATAAATTTAGCCCAATGTAATGATCTCACATGAAAAGATTACAGTATTTAAGATACACATTAAGTGTAAGCAACACTGTCACTTACTTGTCATCAGGTAGGGAGGTAACAAAGAATGGTTGGTTATATTTGGGTGGTAATGTCAAATTACTTGATTTCTTCTTTCCTAGAAGTGCAAGGCTATGATTTTCATGAATATCTAAGCTCAAGGTATTAGACAACCTATGAGAAACAATGAATGGGAGATCTTTAAGACGTTCCAAATCGCTGATCTGCTCATGACGAATCTGTAGTCGAATTGTATAATCTCCTTTCTCCAGTTTCAAAGAATACTAAAAAAGACAAAGAACATTTGGAAAAAGGAAAGTTTAGCCAAGTCAACAGAAATTATAGTAAGAGGATAAAGAGGAACAGTTACTACATACAGAGTGCTTACACTGTGTGAGGAAGAGTGCATGAGAGTGTGCACGCCTACACACAAGGACCTGAGGGTGCAGGTGAGGAAGCAGGGCCAGGACATCCCGGGAATTGTCCAAGGCCACGTGCAGAGTAAAGGATAAGGGAGCTGAAGGCAGGTATGGCTCCAGAGCCCTCAATTTCCCACAATAAGCTATGCCCATAGTCTCAGCTAAATCTGTATCTGCTCAAGACTGATAAAAGCAATGATCTTCTAGTTCATGAGTCTTTAGAAACATGTATAAACCACCACCAAAACTAGCAAAATTGAGGTGCCATATAATATCTAAGACAAATATACACACACACGTGTATACACAACTGGTACTCTTTATGTTATAACCAAAATGCCACACCTCTTTATCACAGGAAAAATAGGGAGCCAGCAGAGACAAATCCACTCTGCTCCACCTAGTTAACCTGCTCAGGAGCATGGCACGCTGTATTCTGCATCAGCAGTATCTTCTGAGATTTTAAAAGCAACCAAGTAATGGCACTGCAATAATCCAGTCTGTACTGAGGAGATGTGACTTGGCTTGCTTTGAGGAAAAAAAAGAACTCATTCTCTGACTAGTTAACTGAAAAAAACCTGATGAATTATTTTCATTATTTGGCATAATATTATAGATGTTTACAGGAAATACCTCATTTCTTTGTAACAATATTTTATTCAGGGATAAAATTTCTACAAACCACTGATTAAGGGGCACCTGGGTGGCTCAGTCGGTTGAGCTGCTGCCTTTGGCTCACGTCACGATCCCAAGGTCCTGGGATGAAGCCCTGCTCAGTGGGGAGTCTGCTTTTCCCTCTTCCTCTCCCCCATTGCTTGTGCTCTCTCTCTCACTCACTCTAATAAATAAAATCTTAAAAACAAACAAACAACAAAACCCTGTATGATTAAGTTTTTCTCCCTTTAATACAACAGTGTGCCAAGCACAGTGATTGGCATACACCGTGTTGAGTACACAGCTGTCTCGGGAAGAAATAAATCTGAAGTTCTAATAAACACTTGGCACTGCTATATATAGTGCTTTTCGTCCAGTTCAGACCCGGGATCATTTCAAGGTGCTCATATTATCTTAGATGATTTGCTCCCAGCCATCAGATGTGTGGAAGCAGTGGGCAGGAAGAAGACATAATTAAAATAAAAAGCTACACTAGGGGTGCCTGGGTGGCACAGTCGGTGAGCGTCCGACACTTGGTTTCAGCTTGGGCCTGATCTCGGGGTCATGAGATCGAGCCCTGTGTTGGGCTCTGTGCTCAGCGTGTGGTTTGCTTGGGTTTCTCTCTCCCTCTGCTCCCTCCCCTTCAAATAAATCTTAAAAAAAAAAAAAAAAAAAAAAAGGCTACGCTGGCTAGGGTTCGCAAGCATCATCCATGCCCTCCTCTATCCCAAAACTTGATTTAGCAGATCTACATGGCTGAGAGGCTGTCATAGTCTGTTTTATAATAAGACAACTAACTGAGCTTCTAGTGGTATGTCAAAGAACTAAATACAAAACTATAGCGTTAAAAAAACTCCAAACAAACCCAGAAAAACAAAAATTACCATAAATAGCAAATCAGAGATTCATTAGTTCAGGAAACAGCCTCAGTTAATTCTGAAAATCACTGCCAATTTTATACCTGATGTGGATAGGCATCTCCTGAACCCATTTGTCTTTTGTTCTGGTCAAATATAATCCACAGTTGGCTGTCAAATTCTGATTCATATAATAGTTCACAAAGTAGTGGGCAGCTTGGAGTTACTTCCCCACTCTTGGGCTATAAAAAAAAGAATAATTACTTGATATAATTTATATGATTTCTAATGCAGATTTGTAATACTGCTGTTGATGAGATTTTTACATTACAAGTATTAAAAATATTTTCCTCTGGTAACCAATTTTAAAAATGCAGAACATCCAATATTTTGGCACTAATTAAAGGTATTTTTCTTTAACAAGTTTTTAAGAATACAAACCTAGCTATTTGTAAGCATTAATGAATACTATATATTCTTCAGTACCTCTAAGTACTTTATAAAACTGAAATTTGACAATTCATTGAAATCAATCATCTCCTGAACATTAAAACCAAATTCATATTATGCTTCAATAAGAGTTTCGCTGAAATCTTACTGATCCTACCTAAACTCTTAAGATTCTATATTTACAGTAGTCTCAACTACCTTTACTGCTCATTCAACCCAAGAGGTATTCTGACTTCTCATTGTTTTAACGCCTGCTTCAGAGAAAAGCAATCAGACCCGCTCTCATAATCAGACAGCATCTGGCGCTGATGAGACCTCTAACCACTGAACAGGTATCAATGAATACAGAAACTACGGCTCAAAGGCCAGGTCACCACTAAATTAGTTTATGACTTCGGACCCAAATAGTACTTGGACCATCAGAGATTATAATTTCCCAAAGAATAATTTCAAATTAACCAGTGTTAATCATTTGACTCTATTTCATACATATACACACACACATCTATACTAAACTGCTTGTCTTTCCGTTTTTCACTTTATGATTCATGAACAAAAAAGTTCATTTTGAGGTTATACTTTAAACACTTACCTGATGAAAGTTATAAGTCAGGATCATCTCATAAAGCTGACGATTATTTGGCAAAACATCTCGTGATCCTAAAGGTTTTGTTTTTGCACTCAGTGGGCTGTAATTAGACAAATGCGTAAGTAATTTGATTCAGGAGTTCATCTACTGAGAGAAAGGAAACTATAACCAAAAAAATCTATTACACAGTACAATAAAAGTGACAATAAGCATTCCTAAACTCTGTCCTTCTCAGTATATTTTATAACATTTTAATCATCAGCTTATAGAGTTCTTCACTGACTGACCCTTAGCAATACGTAGTGTTTAAAATTTGCAATATTATGGAAACATTTTCAAACGTAAACAAATAGTTCTTAACATAATCAGATCCCAATATTAGGGCAATAACTGCTAACAGTGTTAAGGACGGACAGGTTTTGACGTGCGCCCTCCTGTCCACAAACTGCAGATGGCAACGCACATGTCACAGGAGGGGTCCTGTAGGCGCCACACTGAGAGCTTCATCACATATGTTACTTAAGGCTCGAAGCTACTGCTGGGGCTGCCTCTTAAGAGAGCTGCCAGGATTGCTAGGCTGCGAAGTCAGAAACCGCATTTTCATCTCCAGCACTCAGATGATTTAAAAAGATGACTCTTTTCAAAGAGTGCAAGAGATGTCCCCACTCCCACCATGCCAATGCTCAACACCTGTAGCCCTGAAACACTAAATGATACCGGAGGGTCTGGACCCAGCTCTTCAAAGTTATGCAGGGAGCCAGATCTTCATACTTCAAGGAGGACTGAACATCAAAACGATTGATTCCTTCCGACGCATGCTACAAAGAATATTTATCAAATTAGGTTCTCAAGCTTTATTGATAATAAACCGTATTTTTAAACATTTGGACCTAAAATAAACTTGTCTAGTGCAAAGTTTATAAGCATCCATGAACAAAGACGACTGTTATTTTCAGAACCACAAGTAATCTGCCCATTAACACTTAAATCCAACCAGTGAATTATTTCTCAATAACACAAATAACTGACATTAAAAATGATGGAAAGGTGGAACTTACAATGTTTAACTGAGGAGCAGTACACACTATTCCATGGAAAGAAATGGTATAATCAATATTGACATCACTAAGACTTGCCCACCAACGAGCAATGCAAAACTCAATTGCTTTCCCACCCTGTAAAGAACAATAAAAATCACAAATGTGTAAATCCCTTTTCTCCTTTTCTTTCAAATTACTGAATATAAATAGTGTTTTAAAGCAATTCTGGCTTTTTGTACAGCCGTGTGTGGAGTTACAAAATTACAGTTGCAAAGACAGAGTACAGGCGTTTAAACACACGGTTATCCTCTCAGACTCCTACGGTGCTTGTCATAGAAGATCGGAGGCAGCTTTTGGGAGCACATACTACGAAATAATAGTGAAAACAAACTGGAATAAAAACTTCAGACCAAAGGAAAAATGGCAAGAACAATGATAAGAAAAGGGGTGGGACAGCTCCGTCAGGCAGAGTCAATACCCGCAGCTGAGTTTCAGGCTCAGAGCTGCCTGGCCATCAAAGCAAAATGAAATTATGGTCACTTACATCTTTCCCCCTCTTAAAAAAAAATTAAAAACAAACACCACTTTTAGTGCTGAGTTTTAAATTAGGTTTTCTAGTAACCAGTACGTTACGAAGTCTGTGGGGGGGTCAGAGGACACTAGCACAGACAAGAGCACCAGCCGGCATCGGAGACCCAAGAGACCCAGGAAGGCCGCTATCACCGCGTGAACACACGAGGCAGCAGGCTTAAGAAAGAGCATCAGTCCGCTCGGCTTCTGTGGAGGAAGAACCACAGCCCAGCGAGGGTGGGGACCTGCCACACGGAGGTCATTCCGGTGGAAAGCAGCAGCGGCCTCACCTTCACGGCAAAACAGCCTCCTGCAGTCTTCACGGCTGGGCATTAATAAAATAACAAGTAGAAAAATCTTAAATAAGGAAGTAATTTCCTGTGTGATGAGGAAACAATCCCAATCAAGCTCCACGGTATAAGCCATCAGAATCTAGCAGACCAGCACCTTCCTTTGACTACATTTATTGAAGAGTTCAAATGATTACTATTTACCTCCAACTTGGTCTCAAGTACCCCACTGAGACTACCCACCTTCCTACTTTGTTTATTTAGCGTTAATAAAATATTCAGCCCCAATACAGTCTGAATACAAACTATAAAATCAAATTCAAATACTGAGTCTTAGCCTATACCAAAAATAAAAAACGAAATCATTTTTGGGATTTCAAACCGGTAATTAAAACTTACTAAGACAGGAAAAGCTTCAGTCAGTGTTCCTTTTTCTGGAAGGGAACAAAACTTATAGAATTCATGACTTCGATACGCTCTTTGCTTCACAAGCTGCACCGCATGAAGAACAAACTTGGCTGACACCTCAGAAGAACACGAACACACAGTAACTTCTAAAATGAGAGGGGAGGAAGCCAAGTTTTAAACTGAGAGGATTTAAAACAGACATATGATTGTCTTAATACCAACTTTTTAGAAAACAACGTCTCAAGAAAAAAAAAAATGATCTATTCAAAGGAAATCTGCATATTTCCTTAAAAACAAAGAATCAACAGAATATTAATCAAGATGAAAGGGTAGGAAAATAAACAAATCAGTATTAAAATTAACAACTGCTATGCTGCAAACACCACGGAACAGCAAGCTGTCCATGGATGGACACAATTTTCCTAATCAGGTTATTTTCAAAACCCTTTGCCCCTCTGCTGCTATGAGGAAACTTGCTTTTATGAAAAACCAACCAATTCCTGATAAAGAGAATCTTAATTTTAGAAATTTCTATTTGTTATCATGCCTAAATTCCATTAGTGTCTACTTATTCAACTTCATTGATAACTTCCTAGTCTCTCCCTCCTGTCTACTTCTAGAAAGTATGACCATCAACTACACATCCTCAGCTTTATTCTGAGGCCGAGCTGGAGGCAAAACCAAAATCACCGTGAAGCAGAATCAGCATCTTATCTAATGCACACCCACTCTAATACAGAGAACTTAAAGCAAGGCTTACGTCTCTGGTTCACAAGGTCAAGTGGGCGCAGAGCTCTGTGAACCTAATCAATTGCTAAGAATAAAAAATCTAGTGTTAGGACAGTATTTCTAATTATTTGAAATAGGACACATCTGCAGTACATTTTTTTTTTTTTTGCTTTGATTCTTTATCACCCCCATTTTACTGACACGCAATTGACAAATAACATTGCATAAGTTTAAGGTGTACACTGTGAGGATTTGATATATACATATATACTGTAAAATCATTATCACAATAAGGTTAGTTAACACATCAATCACTTTACATTCACCAATTTTTTTTGGTAGTGAGACTATTTCAGATCTGACTTTTAACAAATTTCAAGTACGTAATACAGTAGAGTTAACTACAGTCAGCTTGCTGGACTTTAGATTCCTCGAACTTATTCACCTTATAAGTAAAAGTCTGTACTCTCTGACAACCATCTTCCCATTTCTTCCCCCTCCCCAGCACATTTCTAATCTAAGACTGCTGAATGCTCTGAGCTACTTCCATTCTGGATCATTCAATAAATTCCTATTTAAAAAAAACCTAATTATTTTCAATACCAACCAAGACAAATCATAATGAGAGCACTGTAATTACTGGCATTTACCGTTGAAAAGATACTAGATTCAATATTAATTAACCATAGATTTTCCTTCAGTATTATTAGTGTACATTTTATCAAAGCTCACTGTTCGACAACCCTATGGGGCCCTGTAAGAATTAGGTAGCCCAGAGTTGTTCAACAATACAATTCTGACTCTAATCATTAACAGATATGGTATTATTCTAAATTAAGTTAAAATCTTGAATGTTAAAACGTCTTAAGATAGCCTGAATGATCTGATGTGTCAACAGTGCAAAATAGTACGTGATCTTAACAATATTTCAAACCTAACAGCAAATCTAGGGTGTCAGATGTTGTACTGTTATGACAAAAGCGTGGATTAGAGACATACACACTTCCTGTGGTCACAATCCTAGCAGAGATAGAAGGTACATAAAGATAAGTGGTCAGGACAGACTCAAATGTTACTTACCAGCCCATGTTGCACCCTCAGGAACCTCAATAAAATGCCTTCGAATCTGACCAGGTTTAAAATGTACATCTGTCAAGGCTAGATCATAATGTGACGATTCGTTTACTCTGAAAATAAAAATAAATGGCCAAATGTGATGCTGTCACCCAGAGAGACTTTATATTATAAGCCCACTGGTACTCTAGATTTTAATAGTTCATCAGAAACAAACACAGGGATTTAAAAGTTGGTTACAAAACAATGTGCACAACATTATCTCATTTTTGCAACATGTCAGTGGTGGTAAGTTCCGGATAGCCCAGTGTAGATGATTTTTCTTTTTACTTGTCTATGCTACAATTTGTCTATAAGACACACATATACAGCTCCCTCATTCACAGGATTTCCCTATTATTAGAATCTGAACTATCATGAGTCCTAAATATTAAAATCAAAGGTGATGTTTTGTGTCACTGATTCGGTCTTATAGCTCTGAGACTGACTGGTATTAAACTCCTTGTATAGCTCCAAAATACCCCGCGCCATCATGACACAGGAAAGAAGAAAACTATTTCCATAGCATTTTTGTAAGAAACCAGTGACATATAAAGGTCAAATGTGTAATTTTCTACTATGGAGACCTAAAGAATATGCAAGGGACAAATTTTAGTCGGTATGACAAACACTTAATGAGCGCCCAGTATATATACGAGGTACTGTTGTTAAGAGCTACAAATACACTGAATACATTTTCCTTTGCCCTGGCCAATCTCAGGAGGACAGAAAAATCACCAGAAACATTTAACATAATATGCTCTGGGTGGACAGAAGTGTTAGTGGAAAAGACATAAAAGATAGGTGGTTCGTGGAAAAGCTTCCTGAAGGAGATGATGTCTCAGCTGATTCCTGAATCTTATAAATTATCTTGTCTAATTTCCTACTGGACTTCAGGGAAAATCTGAGAATTTAAGTGTTCTGCAATTTCTCCATGTGTGTGTCACTTTTTATCTCCTGAATCTCATCTTATGTTTCTTATGGGCTGAGACCTGCTGCATACTTATTATTTACCAGTTAACTAATTCAGTACAAACTATTAACTGAGAGCTCTCCGTTGTCTCCAGAATTCTCATCTCAATTTGTCCTTCATCTACTGAACAGTTTGTTTTGTTCTGAAGATACTGTATAATGGGCACCACAGAGGAACCTGTAGGGCACAGTCCCTGAGTCTTCAGTGGGCTCACAGTCAAATGGGGTAAACCAAAACTAACAACATCTTGGCTAAAGTCTGTACCGCAGACGGGGTGACAGGAAATGCTGGCTCTGAAGGACTGCTGTTTGCTATTTTAGAGAGCATGATTCTGGGCAGAGCCACCAACAGATCTTAAACAGGAAGCAGTACGACGGGAGCAGAGTTCCTCGGTTCTGGGATAAAAGACAAGAAGGGAAGGGAGAGTCTGGAAACAGTGACAGGAGAAGTGGAAGAACCAGAGAAAACAGTGATCCCACAGATGGGGTGCGACGGTGGAGGCGGGTGAGCGATGAAGAAGGGACGAAGTAATACTGTCCAATACTGCAGATGGATCAGACAGGGGCATTGTCATCCCAGTGGAATTTTGGCACAGGGAAAGGGCACGGGAGATGCCACCGGGGATTCTCACAGTCAACAAGCAATAGAAAGACCACATCGCACTTGAATTTTGTGAGCAAGAAGCAGAACTAAAGCCCAGTTACCTGATTCTGGTCTATTCATCCTTTAAAAGTTCACACTATTTCCATAAATAGCCATTAAAAAATTCCATGTAACAGTAAGCTGTTGGTAACTTGTTACTTACTTGGTTGCTATAACTGCAGTGATTGGAACTCTGAACAGAGGACCTGCATTAGGGGATGCTATATCATAGCCACATACCTTGAAAAAAGAGTTAAGTTTCAGTAACCATAAACTTTTACAAGAGAAAAAGAAAGAAAAAAAAAAGTGAAATCTATTCACAGAGTAAGTTAATCTAACATTAAAATGTAAATGTCTTGGGGTGCCTGGGTGGCTCAGTCGTTGTCTGCCTTCGGTGCAGGTCATGATCCCACGGTCCTGGGATCAAGCCCCACATCGGGCTCCCTGCTCCGCGGGAAGCCTGCTTCTCCCTCTCCCTCTCCCCCTGCTTGTGTTCCCTCTCTCGCTGTGTCTCTCTCTGTCAAATAAATAAATAAAATCTTAAAAAAAAAAAAAAAAAAGTGAAGATCTTAAACACAAGTTCACGCCAATTTTCTGACGTTGGGTCACATAATTAACAGCAAATAGCCTAAACAAATGCATGCATACCCACCCTTGACCACTTCAGACCAATGGGGAAAGAGACCACCACACAGGGCACTCTCACACATTTCAGAGTATTCAGAAAGTAGCACTGAAGATGCACCAATACCTCTGTATAATGTAATCCTTCTCTTAAGCCCCTGGGATCCACACGTATGTTTATGTGTCTACATTGATTCATGAGTTCCAAATGGCTGGGACACTGAACCCAAGATGAATTTGAAGTTAAAGCTAAATGAAGCTGAAGGGATATTTTTTCAGCGTTTTCTAGCATGAAAAAGACCAAAAATTAAAGATTAGTACTTTTTTCCTTTTCTTCCATTTTAAAAAGTTCTATCTTCTCATAAAATCTAGTAGATGAGTTTAATCAGCTGTAAAACACACTAGGGCCTGGGCTTCCAAAACACAGCTTAAATAAAGCAGTCACAGAACCTTCCCTATGTCTTAGGGCACTTGTGATCCATTCACACTTTTATCCAACATGGCTGTAACCTCAAAATAAGGCGTTTTCGTGAATATCTGTCATTACTGCATGCAGATAACAGCATCTGACTGAAAGGAAGGTGCCAAGTACACAGTGGTGACTACTTCATTTACACCTCCTTGAGCTGCGGTTTTCCCTGGCTGCTTCTACTTCCCATTCTCCAACCGAAACTCTCTCTTACACCCAAGTAGTAAGAGTGGTAAAGAAAAGGAACTGGATGCTTTACCATCCACAATTCGATAAAACCCTGGGTCACTGAAGGCCCAGGCTACTGCTTTCCTCAGTGGTCACCAGGCTGAGCTGCGACGATACTGGGATCCCTGCTTTGCTATCACATCCATCCCCCTTAAAATATATATGATTTAAAATAATATTGTTAACTCATGTTTTCTCTTTAGAACATTAACCCAAATGGCATTTCTCTCATACGACAGTATTCATTCAAACCACAAATGTGAGCCCTTCGGCTTACTGTCCAATTACTAACCGGTATTTTCCGGAAACACAGGTTCAACGCCAACGCCATGATCTGAAGGTGCAGCCACCTGAACAGGGTCTCGGAGGTAGATGCCGCGGTTATTTCCAACAGTAACAGTGAAACCTAATTTATTAGCAAATGATGTATTCTGAACGAGGTAGTCATAGGCTTTATCAACCTAATTAGAAGAATACAAACAGTAAAATATCAATGGTTCGGTCAAGAAAACATTTCGTTATAAATTACCAATTTGATTTCAGTTGTAAAAAAAGTACAGGCAAAAAGCTGGTTTCTACATTCACCTCTCTAAACTACGTGGTAACCCCACATGAGGGGGCAAGTCTACCTTTTCAGACAAAGCACCAGCCCGACCACTCACCTCCAACTCCGCTCTCTAGATTCACACAGCTCGTCCCAAGTAACCAAAATCAGGCACTCCTCCATACGCCATTAGATTCACAGGTTTTGCCCTCGCCATCTTCGCCTGGAATTTCTACCCTCTCTATGACTTAGGTTTACTGTATTTCTCTCTTACTAAAACAAATCTGTCTCAACTACAAAATCTGATTTCATATCCTCTTTGCTTACCAGTTCAGAAACTATTATGATCATATAACGAAAAATCAGATAAACTCAATCACTGTTACAACAGGAAATGTTATCCAGTAATAGCTAAGACCGTATCTTAATGATTAATCTATCTTTCGTAACAAACAACACTACCTGAATAATACCATGTCCTTGGGCAAATACTTCTATATTGTCAGCCTTTACTGCAGTATTTTCTAGAGCTCTTCTGACTGAATGAACCGTGTAGTTAACGTTATTAGCTTTCAGACCTGAAATGTGAAAAAGCAAAAGCAAGAAAGGAGTATTAGAGAGTTTGCTACTTGAAACCTTCTTCCCCTCACCAGTAGAGAGAACATGTACGTTCTCGGGCTTTAAGGTCCTGTGTTTCAACACTCGTTTCTTAATCTTTTTGAAAAAACTAAACTACAACAGCCTAGCTCAAACTGCTAGCATCACGCAAGGATCTCATTCAGTAAAAATCGAGGTGCGCCCGTTATGCAAGGGCACGAGTGTGCACTCTGCGAAGGTGATGCAAACGTGTGAAGCAGATACCTGAAGGCATTCGAATGACATTTTCTCTAAAACACTGCTGGTCAAGTGGGTACCCGGTTGGCTCAGATGGTAGAACACGTGACTCTTGATCTTGGGGTTGTAAGCTTGAGCCCCACGTTGGGTGTGGAGATTACTTAAATCTTAAAACACTGCTGGTCAAACGATATGGTCGCCAGGGATACTAATCAACCTGGCTGTGTTACAGAAACCAAGGGAACTTAACCAGCAAAAAAGATGCGCAGGCCTGACCACAGCTCAATTAATTCCGCATCTTTGAGACTGAATCCCAGGTACTGATACTGACTAAAAGCTTCCTGGGTGATGCCAGGAGTAGCCAGGCTGGGAATGACTGTTCTGTGGGAAGGGTATGGAAGCCACCAATTTGTCAACTTTGTGTTGAATACTGTTAGAGATAAAACAGTAATACCGCATTCCTGTCCACTCCAGAGTTCATCAAACGTATGCGCACTTACAATATGTTAAGAAACGAACAAAACAAACATGAAAGTATGCTGCTTTAGGAGTGAATCGAGAAAGGGGCGCCTGGGTGGCTCAGTCATGAAGCATCTGCCTTCAGCTCAGGTCATGATCCCAGGGTCCTGGGATCCAGCCCCGCACTGGGCTCCCTGCTCGGCGGGAGGCCTGCTTCTCCCTCTCCTACCCCCCCGCTTGTGTTCCTGCTCTCGCCATCTCTGTCAAATAAGTAAATAAAATCTTTAAGAGTGAATCAAGAAAGCGGCCAATTTTGTCAGTGAGAATCCAAAAGAAGGGGACGCTTTATGAGGGGAAGGAACAGGAGTCGAATCTTACCAGAATGTACGGGAATTTGCAAGGCCAAAAAATGGCACAAAAGAATTCTAGGCAGAGAGACTAAGCTGTACAAGGACGGGAGGCTGGAGCAACCCTGAGATGTGGTGAGGTTGAAGAGAACTAGAAATGAAGGCAGAGAGTCCTGGGACCTCATGAGAGGAACGCTCCTAAGGAGGAAGCTCTGTGACAACCTGGTGACGGTAACTGAGTCCCAGTCAATGCCAATGTCACCTGATCAATACCGTGAGCCTCGGGCGCACCACCCCAGAAACTCCCACCTCCCTTCCCACTTTAGTTATCCCCACAGCAATATTACCTTTTAATGTGTAATATAAACTAATTTTAAATTCTATTTAGTCTGTCTCCCACAGCTATGATAAATTCCACAGGGGCGGGTACTATTGAGCCAAAATAATGCTTGAGAGTCATTAACAGCAAATAAATGTATTTGTTGAATGAATGAATACACATTCAAATCCTTATTATCACACAATTATTCGCCATCTTAAACTTTACTTTGAGCCAGGACATGACCAATTCCACACATTTTCTCACCATGAGAACTTCAGAAAACACAAATATCTGTCTGCAATAAAGTAAGAGAAATGTATTCAGTTACTTTTTGTGACCACTGCCTGACTTCGTATTATGCTATAAACTGAAAACAAGAGTAAGTTAGACCAAGTAGAGCACTAAGCAATATCCTTACCCGAAAGTATCAGGGCGATGCCCCCACACGCATTGGGAGAAGACATGGATGTCCCGTTCATTAGCTGAGTTCCTCTCAACGTCCAGTTGGGAACAGAAGCAATGGCTCCTCCGGGCGCGCTGACACTTACTCCGAGGGCCCCATCAGCACTAAACGAAAAGCCATGAAAGTCTGCTTACGATGGTGAGAACTGGATCAACACGGGCATTCATAAGAAGGCCACTAGTCAAACAGATTAGAGCACAATACCATGGATAATTTGCAGTATTGGAATCAGTTGTAAAAAAAATACCCAGCACAGCTATTTCCCCGTTATGTAGCAATTATCTTCCTTAAAAGTGGGCAAAATCTGGTGTGTTTGTATGTATCTGGGATTATGTGCAAAAGGTATCGGGTATCTTTCTGGAGGGAAAATAAATTGTCATTGCTCAGACTCCTTGATGAATGCACTTTTTTCTTGTCTGCAACAAGTAGAAGCTTTGCCTTTATCTAAAGTTTAACATAGCATCGTCCAATAGAAATATGTGAGACACAGAGGGCATTTATTTATTTTTTAAATATTTAATTTATTTATTTGAGAGAGACAGCATACACGCTTGCATGTGCGCATGCTCAGTGGGGGGAAGGGCAGAGGAACAAGCAGACACCCCACTGAACTCTGAGCCCAACATGGGGCTCCATCCCAGGACCCTGAGATCATGACCTGAGCCCAAGGCAGCCGCTTAACCGACTGAGCCACCCAGGCACCCCCAGAGGGCATTTAAAACTTTCCAAAAGCTGCATTTAAAAAAAGCTAATGAGAAACTGGTGAAATTTCTTTTAATAATGTATTTTATTTAACCCAACATATCCAAAATATAATTTCAGTACGTTATTAGTAGAAATAAACGAGTTAATTTATATCCTTTCTTGTACTAGTCTTAAATATCTCATGTACATCTCACACTTAGAGCCTATCTCAATGCAGACTAACCTCACGTGACTCACAGCTGTCACACTGTATGGCTCAAGTCCATGGGCCCCCTCGTTGAGGGCTCTTGACTCCATAGGGTAATGAAATAATGTACACATAGTTCATCGCCATGTAGTCACCCAACACAAGCTCTGTCCCCGGCCCCAAGTAAAGGAATAACATGATGACACGCTAACTTCGTCTTCCCTGGAAGAGTGGCCGAAAGTTCCCCACAGAAGCTGTTGGCCCCTCCCTTCTACCACTCTTCTCCAACTGACTGGACTATTCTTATTACTGGCTAAGAATACTAGTGCACTTTGGTTTCAAATTTTCAGAGAGCTGAACTCAATGTAAATAAGATCCCCCTCCTGAAATGGGTTGGTGGCACCTCGTTTAGTGCTTATCTTAAAATAAACACTGTTAGATAAAGACATATTGAGCTGTAAAGACTTTCATACAGTATTATTGAGTGACAAAAGGTTACAAAGGTGCCTGAATACTGTGATCTCCCATTTATGGACACGACAATGACTAAAAGAATGTGCACCAAAATGTCACCCAAACACATCACAGACAATGAGATTTAGGGTAATTTTTACTTTCTTCTTTGCACCGTCTATATTGTCTACCAACATTCACAATGAGCACGTGGTATCTTGTAACCGGAAGAGTCATAAATTCTAACTGACTACCCCCTGTTGCTCTCTATTCATTTTACACTACTCTGTTAGTGATTAATCACAAAGCATTTACTAAGTGCTCTAAAAAAGGGTTCCATGACTCTGAGAAACAAACTGAGGGTTTTAAGAGGGGAGAGGGGTGGGGGAATGGGTTAGCCTGGTGATGGGTATTAAGGAAGGCACATACTGAATGGAGCACTGGGTGTTATATGCAAACAATGAATCAATGGAACACTACATCAAAAACTAATTATGTAAGGTATGATGATTAACATAAGGTAATAAATAAAATTAAAAAGAAAAAATAAAAAGGATTCCATGATATATAAATATAATTTTTATTAAAAAAAAAAACTGGGGGGTGCCTGGCTGGCTCAGTTGGTAGAGCTGTGTGTGACTCAATCTCAGGGCTGTGAGTTCAAGTCCCATGTTGGGCATGGAGCCTACTTAAAAAAAATAAAAAATATACAAATAAAGTAAAATTTTCTTTACATATAACTTTTATATTCCTTATTAAAAAACTTTACCTAAACATGATATAAGTTTCCTTAAAAAAGCTAGTGATGTTTTTCTTCTAAAATGCAGTATGTAATAAAAATTTAAAACATGCTTATGTAGACAGTATTTGGTAATCCGTCTTTAAGAAATATGCCATACTTGTAAACACCAGGAAGTCAAGTAAATTCTGTATGTCTGACAGTCTTTCCTGACAAAGAGGATTTTTCAAATAGTACACAGAATATGCCCCGTTCAGAGATCACTACTCAATGTTTTATACCCTAATAATTAAACAACATATTTGCAATAATATTCCATGTTTATAGCACAGTAAACATGAACAAATTCTCTCAATTCCTAGAATAACTGGTTTGCGAACCAAGCTTCCCCCGTAATTCATGAACTCATTTTTAAAGATTCTTTTTTTTTATTTATTCATTTGAGACACAAATATACACAGCGAGAGAGCACAAGCAGGGGGAGGGGGAGAGGGAGAAGCAGACTCCCGCTGAGCCAGGAGCTCGACGTGGGGCTCCATCCCAGGACCCCGGGATCATGACCTGAGCCGAAGGCAGACACTTAACAAACTGAGCCACCCAGGTGCCCATTCATGAACTCATTTTTCTTTCTTTTTTTTAAAGATTTTATTTATTTATTTGACAGAGAGAGACACAGCGAGAGAGGGAACACAAGCAGGGGGAGAGGGAGAAGCAGGCTTCCTGCCGAGCAGGGAGCCCGATGCGGGGCTCGATCCCAGGACCCCGGGATCATGACCTGAGCCGAAGGCAGACGCTTAACGACTGAGCCACCCAGGCGCCCCAATGAACTCATTTTTCTTGAAATAATTCTTTAAATGTTCTACGGGCAAATAAGACTAACAAAGGCTGGTTTAAACATTCTTTGTTACTTTGTGCTTATACTGACTGTACATAAAATATTTCAAAATCAATTTTAGAAGAGAATCAATAAGTTTAATAATTAGTACTTTTATTAACTGAATATAAAACATGTAAACCTTTGCCAACTTTGACTCTGAATCCTGGCCACTCTTATTCAGATGTGGAGTTTTAGGCCAATTAGTTGGGCTGATGTGGGCAGTATATGGTGATGATACAGGAAAGGCTTGATAATCCACATGGAGACCTATAGCCTGAGTGCTTTCACTAACAGTTATAGTAAACTACTGAAATAAGTTTATTTTTTAAGAAGAAATTATCTAGGAAAGAGTAGGAAGATATCTGTAATTCAGAGGATTAAATTTGGCATTACCACATTTGACCTGATTCCAACCAATTTTTCTCTTTTTTTTTTAAAAAGATTTTGTTTGTCTATTTGAGAGAGAGAGAGAGAGAGCACAAGCAGGAGGAGTGGTAGGCAGAGGGAGAGGGAGAAGCAGACTCCCCGCCGAGCAGGGAGCCCGATGCTGGGCTCGATCCCAGGACCCTGAGATCACGACCTGAGCCAAAGGCAAACACTAAACCAAATGGGCCACCCAGGTGTCCCCAATTTTGCTAATCTTATACTCAGAACAGTTATGTCATACATCTAACAATAAAAATATCTGTAATTTATTCCTTTAATTATGTTTCCCTGAAATTAGATTGTTCCTCAAAATGAAAAAGTTGAAAAGTAAAAACCAAAAAGTACCTGGTAAAGTTACCAAAACTTTGTCCCTTCCCACCATGTAGTTTAACAAAATAGTTGTAACAGACCCGTGTACTACTCTCAACCTACCTGGGGCCTCTTGAAGACCATGTGTACTGATTTGCTGGTAATTTCTCTCTCAGAGAATACTCAGCAACCATCATATCGGGAGAAACATATGCACCAACACCTGTGGGATGAAGTTCATCATGAACAAAAGGACATAAAATTAGATCCTAATTCTAAACCCACTGTTCACTCAGCTGTGTGACCGTGCGTAAATCACTCAATCACCCTGTACCACAGTCCTTGTTCATAAATGGAAAGAAAGAAAACTTAATAAGCAAGGAAAGTTTACTATGTACCAGACATTAAACTAGGTGCTTTGGTTTTGAATATAAAAACACCTACCAGGATTCTCATGTAGATTAAAGACAAAAATATACCTAAAACTGTGTGTAAAAGAAAAAGAGAAATTTGTTTTAAACTATAAAATATAACTTTAGGAAAATAACGGAATTAGTTTGCCTTCATTTTTAAATGACCATTGTATCCAAAATTCTACCCATAAAGTTGGCAGTATCCCTCTTCCACAAAATGGCTGTAAAAACGAGCAAACAGCAAAGACATTTAACATGCTGCAGTCTTCCAGATAAATATGTAAAGGCAGACTAGTCAAAAAGGCTCTAAATTCATAGACTTACAGGGATCAAACTCAGTTTCTTCATCCTAGAAATCTGGAAATGGCCTAGAAAGGGCTGAAAAAAATGTACTAAACGTATAGTGACTGGCAGAGAAAAGACTTAGAATCCAGGTCGGCCAGCTCCTAATTCTTTACAACATACATACATGCAGAATAGAAGACTGGATAAAATATGTGAGTTAAGAGGATTTAGGTTAACAGTGCTTGCCACTGTTATAAAAAAATTGTAATCACTTGTAAAATGTAGTTTAAATTTTTCAGTGAGTCTGGGGATAAGAAAATGCCAAAACACCGAGTACTGTGGCAGAGGGGTGGATTTTGATCTTTAAGTACCTTTCAGTTCTATTTTCTGTTTCATTTTAATTTGTGTATTTAAAATATCTAGAGAACCGAAATACAAAGGACAGATCACTGGTAGGCACTACTGTCTCAACACACGATTTAACAATTACTTCAGCAAGAGGTTTTAAATTACACAAAGCAAGCTACACCTTGCTTGAGATTTAGAAGCTATAAATAAAAGTATGCCCTATAAGCTAAGATCCCGGTTATTTAAATTTTTTAAAGGACCAGTTTCTAAACTTGGATACCCAAATATTATTATGTATCTGTAACATACAATATCTGTATGCCTTTAATAATAACTATAATATGTATACATTCAAGCGGTTAATGATGTATATATCAGAAAAATTATTTGGGACCAAACAGCATTTCTTGTCATGCAACCAATTACAAATGTTAAGAGGTATTAGCCTTATACTGATCTCAAATTTAAAAATAAAGGAAAAAATTCTAGGCATCAATTATGACCTATTTGTTCTCTGAGTTCATTATCCTCCTCATTCATGCCTTGTATTAAAAAACAGGGGTGGGTGTTACGCTTTGTGGGTGTTTTCGCACAAGTTGGGAGCTACAGCTAATTTTATCATTTTCATATTATGTATGAAACTCATTTTGATCTCCCTTAACTCTTGTTGAGGGGCATCTTCCCCATCGAGTGCAGTGAAACAGACACCACCACATCATACCCGACAGACCGAACGGTGGAAGAGAAGCCACGTTCATAGAATAAATGTGTTTCAGCTGCTTTTCTTCTCATTAATAAAGCTCCCTTTCTTGACATCTGATTCTCTCTGCATGACCCAAGAGAAATTAAAGGAGGAAACTATTCTATAAATAAGCAGTCATATACTATAAATAAAAAGTGAAGCAAGTCTCTGTGTTTATGTTGCTCACTTAGTCTGGAAAAGCCTTTCCTTGCTCATTTCTACCTATCGAAATCCTCACTGCCACGCTTCTTTCCGAAAGCCTCACCTGGATTCTTGAATCAGAAGTACCTGCACTTCTGCTAAGCCAGACTGCCCCTGTGCCTGCCTCACACCACTTCCTCCCACCCGCCTCAGGGTAGCAGCTCTCCGCCAGACTCTGCCTTCCTGAGGGCACACACTCAAGGTCCAGAGGGGCTTGCATACAGCAGAGATACAATTAACGTCAGATTCCCTGCTTGTTTTTAAATAAGTCTATTTCTCAAGCAGGAAGCTAACCTATGACACTGGATGTCGTTCCACCCGGACAGCCGACCGTAGAAAGACATGGACCGTTATTCCCAGCGCTTGAAACGTAAATGATGTTATGCTTCCACACTGCTTCACTGATTACTTCACAAATTCTCCTGAAACACAGAGAGAATTTCTTTGAGATAGAAAACAGTCCCATTTTTCAAGACATGTATTATTATACTGTGAAGAGATTTTTAAATACAGTTTTCATAAAAACCAAACTAAAAGATGGGTTCTTAGTAGTAGAACTCAAACAGCGGCTACAAGGAAGAGGTGTGCATTAGAAGCAAGGGACATTCGCAGACTATAAATGCTTAGCCTTATTCTCGGTGTGTATAATACCAAAATACTGTTAGAACGTGTGGTTGAGTAACTTTTGGCACATCCACCGTTGGTGGAACATGACAGCCAAGCCAAGCGACACACCTCCGCTGGATTTTAGTGTAAGGAAGGAGTCATGGGACCAAGGTCAATGTGGGAAGAATGCCAGATTCAACGTGGAATATAGGTAGGGCCCAAAAGCAAATACTGCAATAATAGAAGGGATTTGATTAGCTAGTGGGGAAACAGAGAGTTTGTCTTCCACCCTCCTCTTAATATAATGTATTTAGAAATGACTCCGCAGGGGATTCCTACATATATTTATGATTAGTGGCAAAGGTGAAGGGGAACTAAGGAAATAGGGAGAACTTCAGAGTAAGATTTAAAATACAGGGTCTCGTTAGAACTGGACAGCAAACAAGAAATGTACTGGTATTAAATAAAGGAGATGAAGTTAGACCATTGAGAAAATGCAGTCAATAGAAAAAAGGCATACGGCCAAGAACGCCACAATCCTGAGTGGGAAGGGAAGAACATTAGGGAAAGAGGACCTTAAAAGGATGAACGTCAAAGGAAGAAAGAAATACACTTAGGTAAAAAAAGGTACTGAGGCAAGAGAAGAGGGCAAGTTTATGTTCACAAAAGAAATGAGTGAGGATGGCAGGGTGATTGTCACAAGGGCAGGAAAGTGATGTGTCACAAGAAACCTAGTCCTGATTATCGGAGAAAACTGAGCTATTTGAAAACAGCAAACTATAGGGTCTGGCTTGGTAAAATTTTCATCTTGGCAGAGCTTTATTAAAGAGCTTCAGAAACTGGGTGACAGGTAGATATGGATGGCCTAGTGGGAATGGGGGAGAGGTGACCACTAAGTAAACACTCTAAATGAAGTCATTTCAAAGTTATTATTGTGAAGAAAAAAAAGGTGAAGTAACATGAGTTCAAGGCTGAGCCGCTGAATTTAGCAGGAGGACACCATGACACAAGAAGGCAGGGGGTCATGTGACACACATCAAACTGCACCAAGGAGCTTCAGCAACGGTGACTATACCAACCAACCACGCTCTGCTGGAGAAGTGAGGGAAAGCAGTGTGAAAGGAAGAGATCTGTCTGTCTGGGAGCAGTTTTTAAGGAGAGGAAATGGCAACCAGACAGCCAGTGCCTGAGTGACTTTTAACCCTGAGCACTTCATTTACTTTATTCATTTATTTTAATCTTTAAAGATTTTATCCAGTTATTTATTTGAGAGTGTGTGTGCATGCACGTGGGTGAGCACCAGATGGGGGAATAGGGATGGGAGGTGGGCAGAGGCGGAGGGAGAGAAAGAGGCATAAAATCTCAAGCAGACTCTGTGCTGAGCACAGTGCCCAACACGGGGCTCCATCCCATGACCCTGAGATCATGACCTGAGCTGAAACCAAGAGTTCGATGCTTAACCAACTGAGCCACACAGACGCCCCCGCAAGCACTTCATTTATTACACAAGAAGGGAAGGCAGAGAAGGTGGGGTCAGAGTAGGCTGTAGGAAGGTCAGGAGCCCCCTCTGAGGGCTTCTATCTTCTCTGGGAAAGAGGTAAGAACATTAGCTAAAGGAAGAAAGGACAGGTCGCTGAAGGTCTTCGAGGAGAAAAGAAGGTGTAAATGACCATACAGGAGTGAAAGAGTAAATGCAGATGATCGAAGGCAATGCTGAGTGACCATCTGAGATTCCTGCTCACGAACTTAAAATGCAATGTGAGTCTGAGTATCCAACTAATAATAAGTTCAGCAGGTCAGGTGGGATCACTGAAGAGATCAGCAGGTTGCAGCAAGTCTAGCATTCTGTCAGGTCAGTACACCTGGAAGAGCTCAGGCTGCTTGTCAACGAGGAGCTGTAATGAGGGATGGGGCGGTGAGTCTTCCTGGCTAGGAGGGAATCACGACATCACAGACAAGACCGTGGGAACAGGGGCCGGGGGTTTACGAGATACACACTATCATCTAACCATGGGACTGCTCGTTTTCAGTTGTGGTGTACGATCCAGTTATAAAAACACTCCGTACTCTCCATCAGCTAAAGTCTACGGCTCACAAGTATCCGAGAACACTCACCCAGAATTTGGCCAGTGAGTTGCTTCTCCATAGCTGTAGTTGACAAGATCACACTTATGATTTATGACTTCTATCATCTATTAAGGAGATGAAGAGTCTAGTTTAGGCAGCAATTTATACAAAGATCAGCCAGTAAAATAAAGGCATGGAATCCCAGTTTCTTAACCAATCATCTTCTATTTCAAATCCAAATGTATCTGTTACTTCCAACTTTTAAGTTGAAAAACTTAAAAAAACAAAAAAACGTAGGCAGAGACACAGAGTATAGTAAATAGTCAATAAAAAACACAACTAGCATGTGCAGAATGGAATGGTTCTTACTAAATTCTAAAATCACTGAAGTTAAAGTAAAATCTAATTCATACGTTAAAAGGAAACACAGACTGTAAATGAAATCCTTTCTAGACTGATGGAGCAAGCTGGATAAAAGGTCGGTGTGGGTTTTTTTTTAAAGTATCTCAAAATAGTGTGCTAGGGGACTTAATAGAAATGAGAAGTATAATATAATATTTTTGTATTTTCTAAAAAACTGCATCTTAATAATTTTTAATAAAAATAATTTAAAACTGCATTAACGTTTTAGCTTCCTCAAAGTCCTGTATACCAAATACAGTCCAACATTTCTCAGTAAAATCAAGAACAACTTATAAACCTAGACCTACCCACGGTCACCCATCCTTTTTCTTCTAAAGCAACACCTCCCCAATACTCACGGCGCGTATGAGGCCCGTGCCTGTTTCCATCGTGCTCAGTCGGGTATCACCGATCTTGATGGAAAGAATCTGAGCACCGGGAGCTACACCATTCCGTTCAGGTTCTTCTGGAAAATGCCCAGCGGCTATACTAGCTACGTGTGTTCCATGAGCTCCTAGAGGCAAAAAGAGGGGACCACGACGGAATATTTTCAGAGATTCTAAGTTTTAACCATTCAATTTACATATCACTAAGCATGATGAAATAAAAATATTCTCTCACTTTAACACCTAACTATATATTATTAAGTCTCATCAATAATTCACAAAAAATGAAACTTTTTCAACTACATACACTATTCTGCTACCCTGGATTCTATCCTGTTCATTGAAAGCAAAATGCAAGTTACAAAGGTGAGAAAGGATCTGCAACATACACAACTGACAAAGTGCTTATATCCAGATTATAAGCTTTCTGATCCAAGAGAGAACCCAGAAGAAAAATGGGTAAAACACTTGAAAGCATTTCACAGAAGGGGGATAACCAATGGCAAATAAATATATGAAAAGATGTTCAACTTCATTAGTCATCTGGGGAACACAAATCAAAGCCACAATGAGATAGCTCAGCGTACCTTTCAGAATGGCTACGCCTTTATGGCCGACAACAGCAACTGTGGAGGAGGACGTGCGCTCACTCCTACATTACTGGTGGGAGTAGAGACCGGCATTTTGGAAAGCTGAACACAGGGCATACCTACGATCCAGCAATTCCACTCCCAGCCTTACCCCCAACAGAAATGCGTGCACATGCATGCTAAAAGACACATGCAAAAACATTCATGGCAGCACCGCTTGCAAAATTCAGAAACTTGAAACAACACCAAGATCCATCAATAGTAAATGGATATATGGTGCATTCATGGGTTAAATATTATACAACAATAAATAGGAACTACTTCTAAACATTGTGAGATGAAGCACACAAAAATAAGGTTGATCTAAAGAATTCACACACAGAAGGATATATACTGAATAATCCCATGTATATAAATGGAAACACATCACCTTGGGTTGAACTATATGAAAGTGCCACTATTTAATAATTTCTGACCTATAAAAACAGCAATATTATTGGGTGGTTCAAACTAATGCAGTGATAGAAATCAGGACCGTAATTAACTCTGGGAGGACTGAGGGTAGATTACTGTTTAGGAAGAGACAAGATGGGGCTTTGACAATGTTTTATTTCTTGACCTGGTTACACAAAAGTATCCACTTTGTGAGAATTCAATGTGTATACAATTTGTGATTTGCATACTTTTCCATAGTATGTCATATTATCAATAAAGCAAAAGCAAAACAAAACAGCTAGGGTTTCTTTTTTTAAGTGAAAAATTTTCTTAAAAGACATGGGTAGAGAGAAATCTCCCACTACTGTCAGATAAACAATAAACGCCTACTGGCACCAGGCCTTAATGTTTGGGTAACGACACAGTCGTCTTAGCTCCAGAAGAAATGGGAGCACATGACCCTTCTGCCTGCTGCAATGCTCAGAGTCCCATGCTCTAGACACCTGCTGTCACACAGGAATATGGACCCAATGTCACCAATTCTTCCTTTCTTATTTTTTCCAATGAAAAATAGGGAAGCTGGATTTTAATGTCACCCCCTCCCCCAAACCACTTGCCACCACCAGTCAGAGTGGATAAATGTCAGCAGGCTGTCCACCACCACATGTGGACGAGAACGTGGAGCTCTGGAGTACTCGTAGTCTGCTGGTGGAGTGTGAAAGGGTGCAGCCACTGTGTTTCTTAAAAGGTTAAATACATACCTACCACATCCAACCAGTTCTCCTAGATACCAGTCCAAATTAAACAAAAACATATTTGCACAGAGACTTGGACCCAAATGTTAGAACAGTCCAAATGTCCACTGATAGGTGAATGGATAAATGAACCACGGTGTATCCACATAATGAAATACTACTCAGCAATAAGGAACAAGCAATTTATAACCATAATATGGATGAATTTTATACTGTAACTATTCTACTTATACAAAATGTCAGAAAATGCAGTATCTAGACTGACAGCAAGCAGTTCAGGAGCTACCTGGGGCTGTGGGTAGAGACAGGGCTGGATTACAAAAGAAGACAAGCAGACTTACAGTGGGGATGGATATGTTCATTATCTTGACTGGGATAATGGTTTCCTGGGTATACATATCTATCAAAACTTATCAAATTGTGTATATATACATGCAGTTTATTGTACTTCAACTATAACTCAATAGTATTGGGAGAGGGGGTGATAAGAGTTAAAGCTGTCCTTGTTTCCTCCCTAGAAGTAACCACTATCCAGAAGCTGGTGTGTATATTCTTCCCATCTATATTTTCATCATACACACACACACACATCCATGAATACTGTATAGTATTATTTAGCATGTCTTACAATTTTACACAAATGTTTTATCAATGTATTTTTCACTAAAATTTTGTATTTGAGATTTATAAATATAGGTATATGTAGATCTATTCATTTTGTTTGCCATATAAATATTCCACAATGAATAATACAGTTTTAAATTAACCTGTTCTTTTGGATATTTGGAGAGTTTCCAACTTTTTTGAAATTACATAGACTGCCGTATGAGGATCTTTTTTTTTTTTTTAAAGATTTTATTTACTTATTTATTTGACAGAGAGAGACACAGCGAGAGAGGAAACACAAGCAAGGGGAGTGGGAGAGGGAGAAGCAGGCTTCCCGCGGAGCAGGGAGCCCGATGCGGGGCTCCATCCCAGGACCCTGGGACCATGACCTGAGCCAAAGGCAGATGCTTAATGACTGAGCCACCCAGGCGCTCCCGTATGAGGATCTTTTTACCTGACTTTGTACTTGTAGGTGAATTGCTTAAGAGGTAGTATGTGGAAGTAAAGTTCCTTCCAAAGGAATTTCCATAATATGAATTATGTTGATGATTTTTTCGTGGCTGGACCATGCCTGTACTACTCTTGGAATGGATCCTACATCATTATGACTTTAAAGAAAACAATACCTTACTAAGGGGATCAAATCCCATTTATTATCCTATACCTAGTTCTTTAGGTAGAATTGCTAAAGTTCTCTCTAAGGCTGCTTTAAGACTATAGTAGTTCAATACCTTACCATGTCAAAAGTTTATCTCTAATTAGCAAATCTGAAACAGAATACCTCCACTGGTCACAATGGAGAGCAGGTTTCCATCATCATATATATTAACAGAGTAATTTAACATCTCAGCTGTGCCAAAGGAACCATATTCTTGGGCCTCTTTGTAGTTTCGCAATACGGTAGATTTACTCAAATCCCCATCTTCATTCGAATCAATGCAGGCTCTGTAAATTGAGAATAGAGTAGATAGTGAAATTTACCTATTTTCTTTGGCTTTCTAAAAATAACGTGGTATGGTTTATTAGGTACCTTCTTACTGTCTTGTCTGTTTTGTCACAACAAACACAGTAACTGCTGGCTTTAGAGTCTTCTGTTTCAAAGTCACCAGTAAAGACTAGGTAAGAAGCTTAAAGGAACCAGCCTTTAAATGAAGGCATGTATAAAGGAGTTTAGCAACACCGTCCGTCACAAAACTCCAGGCAGAAAACCATCTAGCCACTTAAGAAATTAGACCAAAGCTTAGCCTAGAGCTTTAGACTAGTTCAGGATGATTATGACACATAGCCTAGGCCTTATTCCCTTCTGCTTCTATTAGAATTGGTTTCATGAATACAACAGTGTATGCAGCCTCCTTGAAACTAGATGAACTATAGACTGTGCCTCATCCCCATAGTTATAACAGCCTTAGGCAAACATTTTTTACACAAGTACTTTCTACACAGTTTTATAGTTGTCCTCCTGTTTGTTCTTTCCCCATTTTATTACCGCTATAATTTTTAAAGTATATATTCCAAATACTACAAAATATCTGATTACAGCTAAATAAAATAAAAATCATACATGGAATGCACATCACTTAAAGGTCAACATTATGTTTTTAGCTATTAGGCCTTCTGCAGATTTGCTAGATAAGAAGAACGGTGCTTTAAACAAGCTAGAGTCAATCACAATTGCTATAGTGAATTAATGGAAGCCCACTAGTATAGAGAGGGCATTTCTTATAGATACTATTTTATTAACAAACTATGACAGTTTGGACAGAACGATCTCTGAAACTGTCCGTTTTTTTTTTTTTTTTTAAGATTTTATTTATTTATTTGACAGAGAGAGACAAAGCAAGAGAAGGAACACAAGCAGGGGGAGTGGGAGAGGGGGAAGCAGGCTTCCCACTGAGCAGGGAGCCCGATGCGGGGCTCGATCCCAGGACCCTGGGATCATGACCTGAGCCGAAGGCAGACGCTTAACGACTGAGCCACCCAGGCGCCCCTGTCCGTTTGTTTTTATGTAAACCCTCATCAATGTGGGCTAAAATGATTTATGGCATTTCAAAAAAAGACACGCAATATAGGAAAATACAGGAGACTGAACACTAATGGCGAAAATGAGACAAACAGAAAACAAGTAGCATTATCAAATGGAATTAGGACTGAGATTAACAGGTAAAATATATTCCACCAAATGTCCCCATTTGCTAGACAGAGTAGCACTTTTGGTTCCTAAAAGCATGTAACTGGCCAGTATCCATCCTGGCAATCATCTCTGAGGTCCTCTGTTTCTTTCATCCAGCCCATCAGACACTCGAAATTCCTGGCAGTTCCTCCCTCATCCTCTTGACTTTCCCCTCTACCTCAAGCCCTGCCCCTACCCTCTCTGCTAACTTGAGCTGATCCTTCAATGAAATCTTTCATGATGCTTCTGAGATGGGCTCAGATGTTCTCATACTTGCTTCCAGAGTCTAGAGTCCATGGAAGAGCTTCTCTAGAATCTGCCTGGTACAAAGAAGGTACAAATACTTGCCAAAGGATGAAAGAACGAAGGAATCAACATCTTTAACAACATTCTCACAGCAAATACATTGACATATTCCACAGATCAGTTTCCTGTAACCACCATCAATATGAAGTGACTCAACATTCAAGCACTATATCAAAATATCAATAAAAAATTGAGAGACTTCCCTCAATAATGCCACAGAGGGCAAGTATGCATAAGGTACAAGGGTACGACTTTCTGAAGGTGGCTGGCTTAGTTCAAGGACAATTGTCAGAATAGCAGAAAGGGAACATGGAAATGAGGTTCATGGGTAGGATAAGAGTACCTGTGTGTGTGGGGCGGGGGGGGGGGGGGCAGGACAGGGGGATTGGGTTATAAATTCCTGGACATTTGTAATACATTTCTTTGTCCAATTTTCTATGGAAAAAATCCACAGCTTTCATCAAACTCAAAGGAAATCTGAGATAACAAGGTCAAAAACCACTGGAAAAAAAAAAAAAAACAGTTAATGGCCTTTCCTTCATGTAATCCTCCACAAATACTGTCTTCTCAACCAGTGTTTGCTCCATATTGAGTGACAAACACTTAAAGAGTATGGTTATGCTAGGTTACGGGCTAAGGGCAGTGATGTGGGTTTAAATCTTTGTAAAAACAAAAGCCAAGGCGCTTAAGGTCACTTCAGCTTCCCTCAGAAATGGCTGGCATTTCTGAAATGACAAATCTGAAGATTTGCTTTAGGATCTCGAAGATTCTCCTCAAAAAATTCTGGCTCTAACTCTGAGATGGGGTGGGGGAATCAAAGCCCCACATGGTATACAGTACCATGCAAACAAAAGTTAAATTATTTCCAGTAATACCTGACAGCGTAACTCTGCTGCATTTTTCATGGATTATAACATTCTCTAAATTGTTACTCCAGTGACTTCAGCTTTTATCAAGACATTTACTAGCCAATTACAAGAAACACAACTGCTGTGTATAATTCACTGAGAAAGAAACTGACAAGTGTACATGACAGGTAACCTGGTATACACCACCGTTATTATTAACAATAGTAGCAGCAGGAGGAAGAGCTTACATTTATCAAGTGCATACTGTGTCTAGAAACATCAAATTTAATTTTCCCCAAACCCTCTAGGGATGTACTACTATTATTCCAATTAGCAGACGAGGAAACAGGCTTGGAGGTATAGACAGTGTTCAAGGTCACATAGCTCGGATTCCATCTCAGAGACTGAGCTCTTCACAACTGTATTATACGGCCTCACTGCGACTTAGCTACCTGGTCTCTATTTGAGAAATCATCACTCAACTGTACTCCTTTGTCCTTAAAACATGAGTAACAGATGCTCTGCAGCACTCTCTTGCGGTTACTTTCCAAATTGCCCAGCCCCAATCAGGAACATTCCTATGTCTACCAATGATTAACATGGGCTAATATCTGGTTAACAGTTACTGTCTGTTAATGAAACAAATTTCTTTAAAACACATAAGGGTTAGGTTTAGTATCTAAGAAGTTCAAAGGGCTTATCCAAAACTACCCAAAAGCCAATTTGGCTCTCAAATAGTTCCGATTAGTGATATTAATGTCACTTAAACAACTCTCTGGACAGTTCTGGGAGTTTAATGTTCTTCAGAGTAGATAAAAACATATTTTTAAGTGAAGATCTATATAATACATGAAGTTTACCTCCAGGCTTCACCGTCATGCCACACCAAGCAGTCATACACAGGGCCAGGATCACTGTATTTTTTCTCAAAAGAATTTAGCAATTCTACTTGACTTTGAAGTTCCTCCTTGATTAGTTTATTTGCCTAGTCAATTAGAAAATATATTAATATAGTACATTTTGTGCTCTTGAAAAGTTCTATTAACATACAACCAAAGACACAGACCAAAAGTAAAGCCATTTATCCTGGAAAAATGTAAGAAAGTTTTCTTTTTATATCTATGCAACTTGTAATTCAATTTAATGATGCAGATATCAATTAATATAGTAAACATTTAAAAAATACTACTACTTCTATTCAATACTTATTTATTCTATCCACTTTGGGAAAGACACTGTGCTACATGGTGATGATATCATTTGGCTAAGACATGTTACTCACATATCTATAATCTATAACTGAGTTCCAAAAATAACTCTAGAATTACTACAAAGTAGATTATCTACTGAGTTTTAGATTTTTTATCAGGATGGTTTCCATTTATTTATTTATTTATTTTTAGCTTTCTCATTTTTTTAAAATTATGTTATGTTAATCAACATACATCACATCATTAGTTTTTGATGTAGTGTTCTGTGATTCATTGTTTGCATATAACACCCAGTGCTCCATTTAGTACGTGCCCTCTTTAATACCCACAACCAGGCTAACCCATTCCCCCACCCCCATCCCCTCTGGAACCCTCAGTTTGTTTCTCAGAGTCCACAGTCTCTCATGGTTTGTCTCCCCCTCCGGCTTCCCCCACTTCATTTTTCCCTTCCTGTTATCTTCTTCTTTTATTTTTAACATATAATGAAGGGAAGGACTGTTTCCATTTAAATTTGTTTTGCTTTTTTTTTTAAAGATTTTATTTATTTATTTGACAGAGAGAGATATAGCAAGAGAGGGAACCCAAGCAGGGGGAGTGGGAGAGGGAGAAGCAGGCTTCCTGCCGAGGAGGGAGCCTGATGCGGGGCTCCATCCCAGGACCCTGGGATCATGACTGCAGCCGAAGGCAGACGCCTAAAGACTGAGCCACCCAGGTGCCCCTCCATTTAAATTTGTTTCTTATGAATCTAAATAAACAAGAGAAACCATGAGTTATCTTCTGTCCTTTAGAATATGCTAATAAGTTAAATACATACCATATTCATGACCTTGTACAGATAAGCTGCTATTTAGCCATTTTGATCCAAAAAAAATGAGAATTGTCTACGCTCCAAGTGAGATTTTTTTTTTTAAACTACATGCTACATTAGACTGCTCTACATTCACCTGAATAGTCCTACTGAATTAAAACTCAATTTCCACAAGTTCCAAAAATCTTGTTACACTTCATTTTTAGTTATTCAACATGTTCAATATTCACTCCTCCTAAAGGAAAAAGACAATTATATAGACATTTTTGGTAAACAAAATAAAATGGATAATTAAATCCAGATCCCTCTTTTTATAAAATTGGCTGTCTATATGTGGCATCTGAAATACTACACTTAATGTGTCTAATAAAAGGCTAAAGGACAGTGATCTAAAAGAAAATATTACAGCTAAAGAGGATGAATTATACAGTTAAAGAGGACGCTGTACACAGATTAAGTAAATGCAAGTTAAATGTGTATGTAGATCTATTCAGGCCAGGATTCCTCAACCCTAACTGTGTATTAATTAAAGCTCCTGGGAGCTTTTAAAAATGCCAGCCTTCCTGCGAAGCTTTAATTTAATTCCTCTCTAGGGCACAAGCACTGGTAGTTTAAAGCTCTTCATGTGATTCTAAAATGCAGCCAGGACTGAGAACCAGCAATACCATTCCATTTTTGATTTTAAAAAGGTACATACATGCATTAAAAGAAAGATTCAGAAGGATTAACATCAAGTTGTTGGTACCATCCCTGGGGGAGGGCGGGGGGGGGGACATTTTGGAGGCTCTCACTTGCTATGTTGTACGCCCATGTGATCCAAAAGTTTCTGCAACAAGCACGTACTATTTTCATAATAAACCAAAACGTTATCTTCATTTTATTAACTGATTAAAAAAAATGTAACGGCTGCGGTACCTGGGTGGCTCATTCGGTTAGGTGTCTGACTCTTGATTTCGGCTCAGGTCATGAGCTCAGGGTTGTGGGACTGAACCCCATGTCGGGCTCTACGCTCAGTGGGGAGTCTGCTTGAGATTTTCTCCCTCACCCTCTGCCCCTCCCCCTGCTCGTACTCCCTCACACTCTCTTGCTTTCTGTCTCTCAAATAAATAAATCTTAAAAAAAATGTAATGGCTATTTAAGGACGTGGACGATGGGAGCTCTCACAGTATTTCTTGTAGAAATATGAATTGGTGCTAGCATTTTGTGACCCACCAAAAACATGCGTGAGAATGTTCAAAATAGCATCTTCCATAAGAGCCAAGAACTGGAATCAAAGCAAATATTGATCTGCAGAAAGGACACATCAATTGTGGGCATCCATCATACAGCAACAAAAGTGAACAAACTACAACACCCACACATGGATGAATCTTGCGAATACCGTATTGAGTGAAAGGAGCTACTCATAAAAGAACACACTGTAGGATTCCATTTTACAAATTCCAAATAGGCAAAATCTTTCAATAGTGTTAAAAGTCAGGATGGTGGTCGCTTTTGGAGGAGGTAGAGAGCAATGATTAGGAAGAGGTATGGGAGGGAGTGTTCACTTTGTGTTAATTCATGACTACATACTTAGCATTTATGTACTTTTACATATGTGTACTGTATGTTCATTGAGAGGTTTTGAAAAATAAATATGACTTGATTTCAGAATAAAAGAAAAATTAGTAAAATTAAACAATTTAAAACTTGAGAAAAAACCCCAGCCTATTAACTCTCTAAGAACTCTACAGTAACATGGTTCTGTGGTAATGTTTAAATAAAAGCGACTAGCACCAACTTGAGAAGGGCAATTGTTGGCAACATCAAATTCTTCTTGTTTTCTACAGGCTTCTGCAAGGGCCACCCTGTGAACAGGATCCCAGATTTTTTCCTTCCGTTCTTTCTGCAAAGACAGAAAAATTACCTTACAATGAGGTTGACAAATATCCTGGTAAACCTAGACAGTCATTTATATATGGACCTAGTTGTTATCAGTTGTGATGCCACACAATTTTCACATAGGAGCTTAAAAATCATTTATAATCAAGTTGATTAAGCAATGGAGCAATTATTGACAACAAGCTAACTCACTGTACCTGGGTTTTAAGAGAACATATTTACCAAGGCACATCCAAATGTATTTTGATACATATGCCCCAATTTTAACCCATCCAAGAATAAAAATAATAGCATGTGACATAACAAACTGAATTCCCAGTCATTTACAATTAAAGCAAATACTGTGTCCTGGGTCGTTATGGAACTGAGAACTGCCTTAAGCCACATGCAAGTGGGGGGCGGGGGTAAGACTAGCGGCAACGAGGGACATGCAGGCTTCCTCAGCTTCCTCCCTTTCTGGGCTTATTTTGTCCCTATCCTCTTTGATTTGACAGGGTTCTTTGGCACTGAAGTTGGTCTTACCGTCACCCCTGCTGTCTTTAACCCCTAGGGCCACCCAGTGGAGGTCTGCGACTTAAAAAAAAAAAAATCCTTTCCAGTAAAATAATCAACTCCCCTGAACTAAGGAGGGGGTTGACATTAACTTACTCTGTTTGCATGTTAATTTGCACTTTATCATACAGTTGATAAAATTTAATATAGTGCCTAAGAATACTGTGCTATGTGTATTTCAGCTTGAAATTTTAAAATAAGATAGTACCCAATAAGTTATATGCATTGTCATTTTATTTTTTTGTAGAATGATTAGAATCTGACAAATAAGTAAAGGTTCTATGTGCAATATGCTGAGTAGCTCTTATGGTGTAGACGCCTGGAGAAGCAAATAACAGTATTATGATTAGATGGAAGTGCCCACAGGTCTTACCCATTGGGCTCATTTTCAAGAATCACATCATCTTTTACAGCTGAAACTCTGAACCTGTGTCAGCTACCAGCGGTACAGCAATCCTCTAAAGTGGTACTGGCAAATATGGGAGACACATGTTGCTATTTAGATTTCAATTTTAGAATATTACATACAATTAAATTTCACACTAGTCACATTTCAAGTTCTCAACAGCTACTGGTGGCCAGTGGCTACCAAAATGGGCAGACAGTGAACATGTCCATCATCCCCAAAAGGTCTACTCAGTAGCACTGTTTTAAAGCAGGCTCCTTCTTCCTCAGTTTGCAACTCTTATTTCTCTTATGTGTTTCCTATACTTCAGCGCTTTAGGTCTGAGTAACCCTTTCCTTAGTACTGAATGATGACTAACCAGGATAAAAAAATCTAGTTAAACGGTAAGAAAAATGGGACAAATTATCATAGAAGCTATAGGACCGGGAATAATTAAGTTAGCCAGGACTTTAAATCAACTTTAAATAGTCTTTAGCCTTTCGGAGGTAAAAAAAAAAAAAAAAAAAAAAGTCCTTCAAAAATCCATTGAAAGCTATATTCCAGCTCCCAGAAAAACACAAATATACAAAAACTTGAATACAATTTCAGTGTATTCACACATTCTCTAAACTTATCCATGTACCCAAGATTAAGAACCGTAACTTTAAATGGCTAACATTCCACTGAACAGAACCTTGAAACAGTCATTGTCTGAAAGCCTCCCAGCCTCCAAAATAATTAGGAGTTCATGGGATCTTATGAAAAATTTTTTTCTTCAGTAGGAAACAAATTTGAGGAAGAAGTCACTGACTCTAGACTGTACATTACCTGTATCCTTTCTTTGAGTGCCTTTGGATAGAAATCATAGCCATTTTTGATGCCAATATGATATTTGCCTGAGGGATTTGTCCAGCTCACAGGAATCTATAGAAAAGAGGTAAATTGTTAACTCACTAAATGCTTCCCAATTCCAATGATTTAATACTAGGGAAAACGGTTACTTCACTTCTATTCCGATGGCTCAACTTGGATAAGCAAGGTTGCGTATTAGAGCAGTATTTCTAATATTCGAAGGTGCCACTTAGTATCTGTCTGGCTTTTCTTCTTATCCCTAAATAAGATGGTTACCTGGGGTACCTTTCATTTACACAATGCTTCATAGTTTATAAAGTGCTTTCAACATACACTACCTCATTAAACTACTACAATCTTTAGTTCTCAAACATCAAGGACATATCACCTCTCCCTCCTCAGACCTACTGCCAAACTAGGGGGGAGGGGAAGCGGTTTACAGACCCTCTTTTTTTTTTTAATAGATCCTCTTGACGACGCTTATATTTCCTGTTAAGAAATGCACTCTCTACAATCAACAGGGATAATCCCTAGATACTTAAAACAGCTCTTGAAGAAAAAAGTTCTATAAAATCATGTTAATTATATATAACATAATAGTCTTTCCAAATATCTCAAAGTATTTTAAAGCTTCTAAACAGAATGATGTAAAGAGCATGCCCAGTGTACAAACAGAAAAAGCAAAGAAACAAAAAGAAATCAAACTGCTTGCCTAAACCACAGGAAGGGTGAAAAGAAAGCTAAAATCTAGCTCTATCATGGAGACCAAAAAATTCAGTTAAAGAATATGTGACTTAGGTAAACCTGGCTGTGAATCCAAACTCTACCACTAACCAGAGGTCGGGACCCATAGGTCCCTACTGTGTAAAAGGAAGAAAATAATCCCTACCTTCTGATTTGCACAGATGCACTGAACATCAATCAACTTCAAATATCCATCCAGAAAATGTGGAATATTCACACTCTTTGTAATCACAGGACCCACGATCATTAAAAACAGTTTTCAAATGTGTATAAAACATGAGGTTGAACTATCAACCACTCAGACTTGGCTGACTCATCAATTCTCACTTGTGCAGTGTCTTTAACTGGCTCACCTCCATGTCCCTCATCAAATTATTCCCCAGGTAAGAAACTTTTGGATGAAATTTTCTCACAACTAAATAGAGAAAAAAACACCATTCACAGAACTTCAAAGATCTACTGATTTTTTAAAAGCCTGCCTGTATCAGTAATCACTTCTGAATCAAATGGACATTTGGAGTATGTGAAATTTCAAATATGTTGGCATATAAACTAGTCCTTTTCATTCAAAACCTACCACCCTCTTTTAGAGAACAGGGATTCTTAACTCTAGCGTCCCTGTATAGCCTGTGACATAACAATACAGTGCTGCAACAACAAAAAGGTTGTCCCAGTCACTAGCTGGGACATTCAAAAACTATTTCATCATAGGTGTCCCACTACACAGATTTTGTAACCCTAGGCTAGTGGCAAATTCTTTGTACAAGGAGATTTTATTTTATTTTTTTAAAGATTTTATTTATTTATTTGACAGAGACACAGCGAGAGAGGGAACACAAGCAGGGGGAGTGGGAGAGGGAGAAGCAGGCTTCCCGTGGAGCAGGGAGCCTGATGCGGGGCTCGATCCCAGGACCCTGGATCATGACCTGAGCCAAAGGCAGACGCCTAACGACTGAGCCACCCAGGCGCCCCTATACAAGGAGATTTTAAAAGGCTGTGAAATGCCGAAGGATTAAACGGAATAACTGATTAAAATAACTGCAAGGTAAACAGGTGCTAACACATATTTAACCACAGTTACTTACAATATATGTAATACAATGAAAATAATCCACGAGACATAATGTATATTTAATTATAAATGAGATAAAAATCTGCAGGGTCCACACAACCAGATACTTCTCAAATCACTATTATGTATTTTCCTCACAGTAGAGGCAGACTGGTTAGTTACAAAAAATTAAACTAAGGAAAATCATAAAATAAATGTTATAATCACGGTTCTGCTATCTAGCGTTAACCAAATTTGAGTAATTTTACTCTATGAGGCAATTACGGAATATGTCATTTTGCCTATTTGAGTATTTCATACACACGAACTTATTTTCAGTTTTTGTTTTTTTTTTTTTTTAAGAATCAAAGCTTTATATTTTGGCCGTTTTAAGTGGGTATCTTTAAAATGGTTTTATTACCTGGTAACTACTGTGAAAATTAATAAAAAGAAAACTTGGTTAGAATGGAGTCAGGAGGCCAGCAGGGGGCGCTCTCACGCCCTACCACTCATCAGTTGCAGACCCAAGAGGAAGAGAGGGACCTTGCATGCCCACGCTACATTACCACCGGAGCAGGAGGCAGTTTACTCCAATGGGCTTCCTGTTTGTAACAGCTCTTCCACCATCCCCTTTTCCTCTATATAAAACAGTGGTCCTCTCCTTTGTTCTGGGTAGGGACTTGCCTATGACTTTGCCACAGGCTGCTTGCTCCAGACTGCCATTCTCTGCTATTCCTGAATAAACCCACTTTTGCTGGTAAAATAACTGAGTTTTATTTTTAAGGTTAATACTACAATGGAATAAGATGGATTTTCATATGAGAAACAGAATCTCTTTGATTACTAATTACATCTCTTTTCCTTGATTCTTTTAAAGAGGGGATGCCTAACGAATTGAACATTTTCTTAACAAACCAAATGTCATCCTGAGTGTTAATGTTCCACGCAGTAATTTTTTTTTTTTTTTTTTTTGCCTCAAACTATGTTTCAGCCTTGTCAGCTTCATGGTAAAGCCTGTACACTCCTTTAGCTACCACTGCATCTCAATATGGGGCCAAATTTGGCCAAGTCATTCACTATGCCTGGACTTAACTTTTTTTTATATGTAAGAATAAATATTGATGATTTAAAAACCAACTTCAAGTTGAATGTAGTAGAATTTTAAAAAGCACCATGCTCCGTTCCAAATGTCTACTAAAATTAGAATTAAGGAAAAGGAGGAAAAAAAAAACACCCAAAGGACACAGAGAACTGGAAATGATACTCAGAAGCTGTATCATCCCCATTTTAAAGGTTGCAAAGTAAAAGGCAGCACTGAAAATTTATGGGGAGATTATGGAATTTTAATAATTGGTGTTGGGGCAACTGGTCTTCAGATGGAAAAGAGGATCCAGGATCCGTTTTGAATTAAGCCTAAAATCAATTCCAGTGAATTCTAGAACATGAAATGAAATATGGTACAAGTTTTTAGAAAATGATAGAGGAGCATATCTTCAGGGTCTTGGGGTCAGGAAGAATGTCTTAAGACATGAAAAGTCCTAACCAAAAAGGCAAAGACTAATACCCAAATACGTTAAATTTAAGAACTTTTACTCATCAAAAGACACCACAAGGGAAGTGAAATAGATACACAGAATGGGAAAAGACACCAGAGACATCCCATCAGAGGACAGGTACTTAGAATGTGTAATGGAATCCTACAAATTAGTGAGAAACAAGACAACTCGGTAGGGGGACAAAGAGAGCAAACGGACTTGAATAGGCACTTTACGAAAGAGGAAATCCAAATGTCTAATCAACATAGGAAAAGCAGCTCAATCTTATTGGTAATTTAAAAAATGCAAATTAAAACTACATGATAGGGGCGCCTGGGTGACTCAGTTGGTTAAGCGACTGCCTTCGGCTCAGGTCATGATCCTGGAGTCCCTGGATCGAGTCCCACATCGGGCTCCCTGCTCGGCAGGGAGTCTGCTTCTCCCTCTCCCACTCCCCGTTTGTGTTCCCTCTCTCGCTGTGTCTTTCTCTGTCAAATAAATAAATAAAATCTTTAAAAAAAAAAAAAACAACAAAAAACTACATGATACACCCAGATTCCCAGCATATTTGCAAAGATTAAAAAGCCTTAAGAATACGAAGTGTTAGCTGTGAAACTATTAAAATTCTTATACACTGCTAGTGGAAATGCATTTTAGTACAAATACTTGGAAAATCTGTTTGGCATCACCTGGTCAAGTCGTATCTCTACGATTCAGCAATTCCACTCCTAGGTACACATCCTGGAATTATCTATACACATGTGCACAAGATATGTACACAAGAATGTCCTCTAAAGAGCTGTTAGTAACTCTCAAACTGGAAACAACTGTTCATCAGCAGCAGAGTGGACAGAATGGGGCACATACAAACCATGACATCTTGCACAGCAATGAAATTTTAAAAAATCACTACTACATGCAACATCATGGCTGAATGGGAAGAATCTTGCAAATACCTGATGTAAAATGATACATAAATGAAGTCATTCATATAAAGTTCACAAATAGGCAAAACTAACAATTTATTTCAGGTATCCACACAGAGTTGGTAAACCTATAAAGCAAAGCACAGAAATAATTATCACAAAAGTCAAAGTAGGTTGTGATCTGGGAGAACACAGGAAGCCTCTGAGGTATGGCAATATTCTTTGTCTCATCTGGGTAGTGGATAAAAAGGCATTCACTTTTTATTCATCAAGATGTACGTATGTGTTTTATGCATTTTCCTTTATGTCTGTACACTTCACCATAAGGATTTTAAACTTCTGTTCACTTTTTTGCTTCTACCTGCTCATGGGAGTGTCCCTGGCCAAAGTAACTCACCACTAGTTTCTCGAGAAGGCCTATGAATAGACTCCTTAGAGAATGAGATTACTGGAATGTTCAAAGCACTTAACTAGTAGTTCATCTTAAACTGGGAGAAGAGTAAGACATTAACCACCAGCAGTTTATAGGCTATTTTGAAGAAGCTGAAATACAGATATTTAATTCATCTTAAAGCATGGTTAAGTCAAAGAAACCTGAACACTTTACTATGTTGCTGTCTGAAAACTGTGTGCTCATGAGTTCTGAGAGATCCAGCTAGCCAGAATCCCAGCAACTAATAACATTCTTCTTTTTCATGACCGCTGTAAAATATCTGAACATCAGCACATCCTTGAAAAAAAATTGTCTGAACACCTATGTGGGTACGTTCTGTGTTCTGATGGAGAAGGGAGCTAACACCAAGAAGACTGGTGGAAAGTCTGTATGAGGAACAATCAGACTCCTGCTGCCCACCCCATATCCTGCCCAAACCTGACCGGCCAGGCAACTGGACATGGAACCAGAGAGACACTGAAATGTCAGCTTTCTAGAGAAGTTCACATAGCAGAGGGGAGAGGTGAGACAGAGAGAAGATCCTGCAAGAGATCTCCCTGGGCACTAGGTGTGAGCCCCTGAACACAGACAGCCAGGCTTCTCTCTCACTCTCCCCTCAAAGCCCAGGCCAAACATGTTAAGGTTCTCTTGGAGATAACTGAGCATCCCAATGGGAAAAGGTGTGCCATACACTGCCACCTTTGGGTCATGACAGCACCACTGCTCTCATCCCAAGACCGTGCACAAGCAGAGAGCACTTCCATCACCTTTACGTGCCTTGCTAATAACCAAGGGACAGCCAGGATAGCTAGATACCTTGGAAAAACTCTCAGGTAGAAAGCAGAGCACAAGGAAGGAGGAGAGGCAGAGGAAGGAGGAGGTGAAGAAAAGGAGGAGAAAGGGAAGAGGGAAGAGGTAAAGAAAAAGGGGAGAGCAAGGAAAGGGGAAAGGAGAATAGGAGGAAGAGGAAGGTGAGTAAAAAGAAGAAACCACTAGAAAAAAAATTTTTAGACAATATTCTCACAGATAAAATGTTGCATACATGGCACAAAAATATGCTGAGTGAACATGAACAGAATTGCATTTAAAAATAATAGGCAAAATTTAACAACATTCAAGAGAGGGCTAGAAAAGAATATTGAGAAATCTTAGAAATCTTTCAGGAAGGAAAAAAGCAAACAAAAGCAATGAAGAAAAGGTGGAAAAACGTAAGAAAATTGGAAGATCAACTCAAGAGGTACACCGTCCAATTAACAGGAGTTCTAAATAAAAGAACAGCAAAAACAGTGGGAGAAAGTAACCCAAGACGCCACCAGACAACTCAAAAATGAAGGACCTGAAAGGTAAACTCTCTTCTTCCACAGTGCTATTTCCACAGATAAAGTCTCAAACCACATAAAAACTCAAGAAATAAAAAGAGTTAGTATGTTACTTAAAACCCCGAAGATAATGTCAAGATATCAAAACTTTATCTCTTGGTGAGTGGGAACTGTTGGTCAAAGGGAGAGGTATGGCTTAGTTTTTCCTGTTAGGAGCCTTGAAGAAGTAGTTGTCTTTTTAAACTATGAAGACATGTTGAATACAATTAAAACTTAAATTAAAACCTCCCACTATAGGGGCGCCTGGGTGGCTCAGTTGGTTAAGCGACTGCCTTCGGCTCAGGTCATGATCCTGGAGTCCCGGGATCGAGTCCTGCATCGGGCTCCCTGCTCGGCAGGGGGTCTGCTTCTCTCTCTCTGACCCTCCTCTCTCTCATGCTCTCTCTCTGTCTCTCTCAATAAAATAAAAAAATCTTTAAAAAACAAACAAACAAACAAACAAAAAACCTCCCACTATATTGATGGGCTGAGAATACTTAACAGTAGAGCTAAAGAAGTATGTCACCAAACTGAGAAAAGACTTAAATATCTATCAATTTTCTGATCTTATTTCACAGCCTGTATATGTAATTCTACCTTTGAGCAGCAGTGATGCTATCAGCCCATGTGGTTTATCTAAAGCACAGGCCACTACAGCTATTTAAAAAAACAACTGAGGACACTATAGGATTCTAAATCTGCAGGACTTACTAGGAGTGTTCCCTAGTTTCCCAGAGCAATGTAAACTCACAGGAATCCCATGGGTCTCTCTGAAATATACTCTAACAAGGCTGACTTGGGAAGACAGGCAAAACCTTAGAGTAATTCAGATGTGCAGAAACTCATTTCCCTCCAGTTTACAATCTTTTTTTTTTTTTTAAGGCCCACATGGTCTTAGCTTGGGTCCCATAAGAAAACACCACAGACCCCAGGAATTTATTTTCTCACGATTGTGAAGGCTGGGGGCATGAGATTAGGGTGCCAGCATGGTCAGGTTCTGGGGAGACTCTTCCTGACTTGTAGGCACAGCTTTCTGAGTCCTCACATGGCAGGGAAAAAGCAAGCATAGACTAATCCCCTCATGAGGGCCTCACCCTCATGACCTCATCCAACCCTAACACCATCTCCAAATACCATCAAATCGGGTGCGAGAGCTTCAACATATGACTTATGGGGTCATACAAACAATTCAGTCCATAAAACCTGGATGTTCATGCCTGCTGTCTGCCTGGGGTAGGCAGATTCTAAAGATAACCCATGCCCTTGTATAGTCCTCTCCCCTCAGTGAAGGCAGGGTCTGACTATTGTGAAGGGATTTTGCAGATACAATTAAGGTCTCTAATCAGGTGACCGATTTAATAAAAAAGGACATGACCCTGGTGGACCTGACCTCATCAGGTGAGCTCCTTAAAAGAGAGACTGGGGCTATCCCAAAGGTCAAAGAGATTCTCCTGCTGGCTTTAAAGCAAGCTGTTGTGAGCTCTAGAGGTGCAAGAAAAATGAATTCTTCCAACAACCACGTGAACTTGGAAGAGGATCCTGAGCCTCAGATAAGACCAGGTTCCAACCAACACCTGATTACAGTCTTGTGAGACACGAGCAGAGAGCCACGAAAAGCCAGATTCCTGACCCACGGAAACAGTAAGATAATAAATGCAGGAATGTATGTGGCTTTAAGCTGCTAAGTTTGTGTTAACTCAGTAGCACAGAAAACTAATATACTGCCACAACAATCTTAGCCAGAAGACAGTGCCTAAACATGATTCAGATAGATGGTAAAAGATGGGTAAAGTTCCATATAGCTCTTTAGACGCAGATAAACACAAATTCATCTTCCAAACTAATTCTGCTTATTGGTTTAAACGATAAAGAGTACTGAATCACAATAAAATTCCTGACATCTAACAAGCTCATTAGCTAACATCTCATCAACTGCTTTTAGTATTCTCATCATTTTTCATGTTAGCTTAACTTTCTACCCAGGTCTTTCTACCAAGTACATAGAGTAACACAAAGCCAGTCACTTAAGTACACAATTATTAAAGCCTAAATATTTCATATTCCAAGTTCTCAGAAGGGACAGGAAAAGATGAAGGCAAAACTACAATCTGGTCACTTTTCCTGCCTTTCTATCCAAAACTTAAAATTTTTAGAATTTGGCAATCACATTGAAAAATATATCCCAATTCTAAGCTCACTATCAAACAAACAAACAAACAAAACACTGAATTTTTCTAAGACGGCCCCTAACGACCCCCACCTCCTGGTATTCATGCTCTCGGTAAAATCCCCTTCCTCTTAAGCATGTGCTGGATTTCATGGCTCATTTCTACTGAAAACAAAATGGCAGATGTGATGGGATGTCAATTCCAAGATTAATTTGTGAAAAGACCATGGCCTCCATCCTGGGCACTCTCTCTTGGATTACTCTCCCAGGGGGAAGACAGCTGAATGGTGTGACACAGCCCCATGGAGAGGAACCGAAGCCTGTCAGTAAGTACCTGAGCGAGCTTGGAACAGACTCCCCTTCCCCACTCAGGCTGAGCCTTCAGATGAAACCACAGCCGTGGCCACGGCAAGCTCAGGAGAGATCTTAAACAAGAGGCACCCAGCTAAGTCACACCCAGATTATGGACTCACAGAAACTGTGAGATGATAAATGTTTGTTATCTTAAACCATGAAGTTTTGGGGTAATCTATTAAAGAGCAAGAGAGGTAACTAATAACCTACCACCAAACGTAAGCTAAAACCATTAGATGCTTTGAGGCAACAGTATAAAAAAAAGGAAAAAAAAATTCGATAAAAAGATAAAAGTTCTAACCTTGAGTGCTCTTCCTGAAAGACCGACAACCTCGCCATCTTTGGGCTCCACCACTGTAGCAGTATTCACATCACCACTTCCTGTGGTATCAATGATATCAATGATTTTTGGTTTTCCATCAGTTGTAACCTGAAAAGTAAGAGATAATTAAAATATAAATTATAGATTTAATTTTTTAATCCTTAAAAAAGCAATGCCAACCTCCATATATGTGCATACACATACATGAAATACTCTATGAAATCTGCATTCATTTAAAAAAGAAAACTGAATTGTTTTAAGCCAAAAGTGGGACAGATACTTACAAAAAATTTAGTCATGGAAAGCACCAAAGAATCCTTCAAGTGATTTTATATATTCAGAATAAATATTTACTAAGCATTTACTAAGGCCGGTGTTGGGGACATACAGAGAAATGATCAATACACAGAAGTCCCCGATCTCACAGATCTTATGTTCTACTCAGTCAATAAACACGTCAAATACGTAACACGCCAGATGGTGATAATTACTATGGAGAAAAATTAGGCAGAAAAAGGAGTTAGTGTAGGGGTTTCAACTTTAACGAGGTTGGTCAAGAAAGATCTCACTGAAGGTTAACATTTGAGAAAAGATCTGAAGAAGGTGAGCTTTGGGTTGGACAAGCACAAAAGTGTAGGGAGAAAACATGTAATAACATGTAATTATGGGATGTCACACTAGCACTCAAACTTATTAAGTTCTAAGTTCAAACTTAACATTCAAACTTATTTCTCTCTAGGCTTTGCCATCTCAGGAATTGATACATACCCAGATATTCAAACCAGAAAGTCAAAAGTCCTTCTTCTCTGACTCTTTATTCTAGTTTACTCCTCACGTCCAATCTCTCAGGAAGTCATCTTCATTCTACCTCTAAAATACAGTTCAAGTCCATCTTCTCCCCTTGATTTTCCCCACCAGTATCCAGACTCTCTCCCCACCATCACCCCCTTGCCTTCATAATGCTGATGCTCCTTTCAGGTCTCCCACAGTCTTGGCCCCCACCAAGAGCAAGTCAAACAAGCTGTACGATGCCAGTCTTCCATGTGGTATCCTACAATGGATCCCAATGCACTCACTACAAAAGTCTCTGCGTGACCTGGCCCTGCCACATCCGGTCCTGTACCACTCTAACCACACTGGCCTCCTTTCAATTCCTGCCATGTGCCAAACTTTTTCCTGCCTCTCAACTTTGTACCACACAGTCCTTCCGCTTGAATCCTCTGTCTCTTCAGCTGTTCCCTAGACATCCCAATCTCATCTCTCAGTTTCCTACTAAATGTCCTCTCTTCAGAAAGGCCTCCCTGATGACCTCTTCTGTAGTTGCCATCCTAAACCTGAATCTTTTTCTTCCTCACTGTACCTTGTTTCCTTCACAGAACTTCTAACTATACAGCTGGCTGATTCCTGATCTATTTCCACTAATTAGAAGAGAAGTTGTATTAAGGGGAAGGACTATGTCTATTTCACTCACCAAATTCCCCCAAACCTAGCAGTGCCTAGTTGATACTCAATACATATTCAACGACTGAATGATCGTGCTAATTTACTCAGCATTAAGAGTGATCTTCCTAAGGCCTGGTCTCTTGGCCAGTCCAAGAAACAGCAGTACTGTATTTTCATACTGCTTTTGTTGGAAAAATCATTTCTGGGCTCGCCTTGCAAAGGGAATATCTAGCATTCAAGATATATGTACTGAGTTATTAGCAGGAAATCAGGCACGGAGACACAAAGACTGAAAAAAGAAGACAGCTACTCTCAAGGAAAAAAAAAAAAAAGCAATGTAAAAAATGCCAAGAGTATCACAAAAGCACAAGGTCTTCCAACTCCTTTTCCACCTGGAAAACTCACACTCTAAGTTCAAGCTTAGCATCTCTTTCTGTGTTTTCCCAGGCATTGCTTTCTTCCACCCCCACCCCCCAAATGCATGTGTCCTTAAAGCTCTGCAGTTAAGGGTTACCCAAGGGGGGAAGAGGGCAAGTCACCATGTGAAGGAAACAAAGGCACACATGGTTTTCTTTATGAGGCAGAAGCAAAGGGGTTCTTGATGGGCCCCAAATCTTATTCCAATAACACTGCCATAGAACCACCAGGGGCCATAAAGGCCTTCCAGGCACAGCTGTTTTTTGTTTTTAATGTGTAGTAATTTTTAAGCTAGAGGTCTATACTATTTTAGATTTTTTTTTTTTTTTGAGAGAGAGAATGAGAGACAGAGAGCATGAGAGGGAGGAGGGTCAGAGGGAGAAGCAGACTCCCTGTGGAGCAGGGAGCCCGATGCGGGACTCGATCCCGGGACTCCAGGATCATGACCTGAGCCGAAGGCAGTCGCTTAACCAACTGAGCCACCCAGGCGCCCCTGGATGTCTATACTATTAACAAAATAAGTAATATACTCAGAAGGCTCAAACTCATCACCAAAAAATTATTGTGGAAGTCATACCAAACTCTAACAAGATTATGATAAAACTTAAATCAGTTACTGATTTTGAAGGGATTGGCTAAATATCTTTAGAAGTAAAATGAAGGAAAATGTAAGAAAATCTACCAAAATAAAAAATGGAAACAAGAAGAAGTTAATACTCCCCTATAAAATTAAAACTAGCCAAATCATGTACTAAGAATTTAAGAAAACAATTGATTTTATATTTTTATTTTTTTTTAAAGATTTTATTTATTCATTTGAGAGAGAGAATGAGATAGAGAGAGCATGAGAGTGGGGAGGGTCAGGGGGAGAAGCAGACTCCCTGCTGAGCAGGGAGCCCGATGTGGGACTCGATCCCAGGACTCCAGGATCATGACCTGAGCCGAAGGCAGTCGCTTAACCAACTGAGCCACCCAGGCGCCCGAAAACAATTGATTTTAAAAAGTATTCCAAATAAGTATGAATTTGAAAGCTAGGCCACAGCTCTAAGAACACAATCACCTATCTTTATCTTCTCATTCAATGAGCAAACAACTTCAGTGACCTGAGATTAAAAAAATCACAAGAGATCACTAACAAGCCAGACATAGATCCCTCTCATTAGAAACCTCATTATCAGTGTGTGAGCAAAGAAGAAAGCCTAACGGGATTTACTAACTTATCTACCATCTACTATTGCCACAAGCTTTACTTATTAGCATCTCTCTTTCATTAAAAATTCTTATACATGCAATTTTCTATCCCTGTACCTCTTTCTTCTCCTTTAGGTAAAGGCAACCACTCCACTGGAGACAGGAAGACAGAAGAGGGAGTTTGGAGTTAGGAAGAAGAGGTTTTAAAAAAGGCAAACCAGCTGAAGATCGCAATGGGAGCTTTGGGAGAAGAAAGAAACTGAACTGCTACCATCAGAACGAAATCCCTCATCTTTGTGGGGGCGAGGGGGCTGTATTACAAGACAAAGAGGGGACCGGACCACTGCCAGAGTTGTGAGTAGAGCTAAGGTAGTAATACAGTCCGTGTACTGGGGTGGGGGGTACTGAGAAGTGCTTACAGAGCTATGTTGGCTGGACAAAACAAACTGCCCAAAGATTTTCCCCAAAATTTCAAGAATCTGAGTTACTTTGTGTCTCCACTGAATTGATTATGGTCAGGGAGCTGGTGAGGGCAGTGAGATATTCATTAAACATTAGAGAGTCAAAAGAAAGGGGGGAGGGGAGTTGCAAATTATCCTAAACAAAACAAAGTGAATGTATAAGTATTTACTTGAAAATATTCTTTTAAGCAAGGGAAGATATTTCATAAGCAAATACTATTAAATGACTATTATTCTCAATAATAGTCTGTCATAAGAGCCTGTCTGATGAATGACTCAGACAGGCTCTGCTTTCAGAAAGCTTACAATCCAGTTGGAAAACAAATCAGTAAAGCGGTAAGTGCAACATAACAATAAATAAAAAAGGTAAGGACAGTATCTATGAAAACATATAGAACATAAAATGCAGCGTCAGGGAATTCAGGAAAACTAACCAAGAGAAAGGTGATAAAAATTAAAGTCCACTGCATAGTACCTAATATTAACAACCAATTATATACCTATAATTTACTTACTATACTCTATTATTTTACTAAATGTAAAAAAACGGAAACATTTTTATAGTGCCGCTTGTAACCTTCTTCCCCCAAACCACTTTTCCTCCATGAAGATATGCTGCACCATACTGCACACACATATACATTTTTTTCCATTCGGCAAAAATATTTAATGTTGTGAGTACATTTCATACAAAATTAATCTGGATATCTGCTGTCAAAGAATTTTAACTTATGCAGGAAAAAAGGTTATGTAAACAGAAATATTAAAACGAAACATTTAGGTGATGTGGGGGAGGGAGGGATCTGAACACACTGCTATGAGAGCAAAAAAGAAAAGAAGCACCGAAGTAACTGTTGGCAAGAATTGGGCCTTATTCATCTTGAACCCTCAAGTCCTAACACAATGGTGGACACACACACATAAATATATGCTGGGGGTCTGAATTAAATCAGTAGATAGCCGAAAAGCTAATAGGGTCAAGACCCGAGTGGGTCTTAAAGGATTAAGCAGGAGTTTACAGGTGATGGTGGAAGGCTTGCAGGCAGATTAATTTATATGTTGAGGAAAGACCTGAGGGTGGGTGAGTGGAAAGGGTGGACTGTTCAAGATGGAAGCAAAGGGTTGACAGCAGGGTGGACAGAAGTAGGGAGGGGAGAGTGAGAACCAAGGCACCATAAGGAGGTCAAGCTGGATGATAAAGGGCTACACAAAATTCAAATTTTGGAATTTTTATGCAAAGGCAACTAGGACATCAAAATTTAAAAAGTTTTGTTTTGTATGAAACAAGGGTGTTACAGAAGGTGTTTTCTTTCTTTTTTTTTTTTTTTTTTTGGAAAAATAATTTGGCAATGTGAAGGATGGAGCAGAGAAGACTGGTGGCAGGGAACCAACTGGCTACTGCATATTCTTTCCAGGTCCACTGCAAGTCCCACCCTGGCCGTGAAGCCAGCTCTCCTGCTACCCCCGTCCCCCAACCTTGGTGACACTTGCAGGAGGACATCTTTTAACTCAACCTTAGACATGTGCCTGGATATCTGCTGAGGAGAGATGTAATCATTTATTACTCCTCTCATGCTCTCCACCCTCTACTTTTAACAAGCCCAGGCAGCTGTCACAAAAGAGCACTGGGCCCAGAGCAGTCACCAAAGAATGACACCCCACTGCCTTCTCCAAAGTGTTCATTTGTGCCTCGAGTCCACTACGCAGACCCATCTGGCTTTCCAAATGTCCACTTTGGCCTTCTTTTTTCATTCTTTCCTTCCCTTTTATTTCTATCCACCTTCTTATTCTAATGATATATACAGAGATCTATAAAATACATTTGCTAAAGCAGGGAAAAAATCTTAAAAAAAAACTCCCTCACATGTGCAAGCCACCTTAACTGAATTTCTTTTAACTGGCCGTATTTATGTCAATATCTCCATTAAAGTTGTTAGAAGAGTTACGTTTTCATTTTATTTCAATATTTTATTGCTTGAACATTTGTTATTACATGCAAATATCTAATGCACATTTATCCTCCAGACAGTTGACTTAAATCCCAGCATAAACTCCTTCTAAATAAACCTGCTTAAAAAAAATTAGTGTTTACTTAACACTTTTCTTGAGCGCTTTAAAAAGTCACATGTAAATAATCCTCTCAATTAATTTTCATAGCAACACTGGATGAGAACTGCTATTACTTTACAGAGAGTAATGGAATGATATGATAAGCAGATTGGGAAGTTCAACAAAAGCATTTTTACTGAGACAGTCTCCTCCAAACTCTCCTGATCCTTTCATTATCCTGACAAAAGAACCAGTAAACACTTACCCAGCTGTTCTCCTCCCACTTACCCCTATAAAAAGTAAACATATACTACAACAGAATGGAAACCATCACTACTCTGTAATAAAGCCTCAATGAGGGGATGGCTGTCACTGCTGTAAGTCTTCAGAGTTATTAACACAACAGCTGTACCACTTGAGCTACCAGCAAGGAACACATCACTTGCTCTTCTGACTCACCAAAGCTGCCTGGCCTTGCCAGCCTGAGGTGTGTGGTACTCCAGAGTGCTGCTTAAGAATTAACAGGAGGAAGCAAGATTCCTAGAGGGATTCTATACAGTCAGCCAGCCTGGTTCCCTTTTTACCCCCAGCATGACATCCTAACGTCCAAAACTGCTACCTTAATTATTAGAAAGCACAATAAAGGATCCAGAGGCCAGAGAGAACTTGGGAGAGGAAGAGAATTATTAAACTTCAGCGTTTAGTGTAGAAAGGAGGATAAGATACACAGATGAAGGACTGACAAAAGGGAGAGCGCTGCATATCACAGGATTAGCCACGTTCGATTTTTAAGAGAGGGATCTTCAACAACGCTATTTTATGACTGTAGTTCAGTAAAAGGCTAAGGCTAAATTTACAAAAGCCAGACTCTGAAGACTCAGAATACTTTTAATCAAGAGACATTTTTGTAAAGTTACCTTTTGGTATGGTACTTTAAAGATTTCAAAGGTGCCTAAGGCAAAATTAAGTAATTTTTTAAAATCGTAATTAAAGTATGTTGTCTTACACGTCGAGGCTAAAAAAAAATACAGAAGCCTCATTTAATAAAGCCCGAAGAGTTCGCCAAAAACAAAGTAAATTAGGTTCTTATGTAAAATAAAGACTAAGCCATGCGTTCCAATGACCCTAAACAAGTACATTGCAGAAGATGGTTTAAAAATAGAACACATAAAACTACCAGAGGAAACAATTCCGGAAGTTGACCGAGTTATCTTCTTGAAACCCGGCTTTCATGTGAAAGATAAAACAATTCTCCCCAAAACCAAATCTCCCGAACGACAGCAATAAAAATGAGGTTCTGATTGGTCATTTGCCCCTCTTCTGTTTCCTCCCCACCCCCACCAATAATAAAAATCGTAAAATCCCCGTTTGAAGAGAGCAGACACGGGCCGGTGCCGAGACGCGAGGGACCTGCGGAGGAAGGCGGCGTGGTGGGAAGGGGCCCAGGGCCCGGGCCTGGCAGCACCCGGGCAGGAAGGGGATTCCTGGGGAAAGGCGGACCCAGGCACCCCCGCCAGCCGCGCCTGGCGCGCCGCTTTTGTCTGGGCCGGGATGACGGCCCAGTCCGCGCCCCCCGCCCGCCCTGCCCTCCGCCGCCTGCGGGTGCCGGCTCGGGCTCGGCTGCAGAGCGGGGTCCGGCCTGCAGGGCTCCGAGGCTGCGTCCCCTCCGCGCCCCCTGGCCGGCCCGCCAACCAGCCGCCCGCGCCCCCGCGCCCGGGCCCTCGGCGGCTGCCGCACCTGCATGCCCGGAGCCCCGGGGTCGACCCCCGTGTCCAGGACGGCGATGAGCACCCCCCGCCCGTCATACTCCGGGTAGCGACAGAGGAAGGAGGCGGCCCCGGTCTCTTTCTTGGGCAGGAGGCCGTGGAAGGGGAAGGGCTCCTCGGCCGCCGCGGTGGCCATGAACGCAGGCTGGAGGACGAGGAAGAGGCAAACTGCCAGGTTGCGCGCGGACGAGCGGCGCGAGGACACCGGGGCAGCCGCGGGCCTGGGCGGGGGCGAGGGGCGGGGCCGGACGCCGACCAATGCCGGCCGGCCGGGGGGAGGCGACCAATCACGTACAGCCACGTAAGCCAAAGGCGCCGCTCTCGGGAGCTTGGCCGGAGTGTTGCGCGGGCCGCAGTGTAGGAGGCGGAGTCTGAATATCCTGGTGGAGATTTTGGTTCTCGAACCTAGGGGTCTTAAAGAGGCCGACTCTTGGGAGTTTTAGGAGAGGACTGGGCTCGGGGTGAAGGGTCCATGTGCCCCGGGAGAGGCGCTCGCCGAGGAACAGGGAAGGAAATGAGCCGCCAGCGTGGAGTAGCTGGAGCTCGCTCCGGGCAAGTGATGGTTTGCGAACTTGAAGTCGTGGACGAAAGTTTTGGGTCGGCTGCTGCAGGAGCGCCCCCGACCCGACTTAAGGGAGGCGACTCTCGAACGCCAAACCCTCTGGGGTCGTGGGATATCGGCAGTTTGCCCGGACGTCGATTTTTGAGAGACAGTTTTTTGAGTCAGTCGTGGCGGGTTTGGGTTTCCCTGCCTGTCTTCCTGTGTACCCCTCTGATCGCGGCCAGGCCTGGGAGGAATGGGTGGGGAGAGACCAGCGCTTCAGACAACAGGAAGTGGGTTCTTGGGCGTTCGGTTGGCCTCGTGGGCGGTGACAAAGCAGGAGGCTGAAGTGGGCCCCTCCTGTCCTCATTGCTTCCTTATCTTTGACTCCCAAGATTTCTAAAATTTTTTTTTTTTTGGCCTTTAAATGGAAGTTCCTGGTTGTTCCTTTAAGGCTCACTCAATCATCGAGCCATAATTTTCAGTTTTTCAGACTCACAGTGACTATCAATTGCTCCATGCCGCACTAGTGGTTCTTTAATGGTCTGTGTGTCTGTATTCACGCCTGAGGAATCCTTGGCCTTTTCGTCCGCGCCCAAGACCCTTGGCAATCTGGTGAAGACCCTTGGCAATCTGGTGAAGCTTCGGGACCCCTTCTCAGCAGCGTTTTTAAACGCATAAAATGAAAAATATAGGATCACAAAGGAAATTAGGTTGACATACAGTTATAAAAAATATCAAAACCAACTTGGTTATAGAGCAGTAGCTTTATATCTGTGTGTATATAGTTATAACATGTGCTTCCTTGCGTGAAATAACAGGAACTAGCACAGTAAGCGAATAAGCTCGCATAACTTCAAAATGGTGAAGAGCGTAAGTGGTATTTTGAGATATCTGAAATAACTGTACTGTGATAAGAAACTGATTTGTATTGGTGAGAAAGTAGCAAACAATAACTGCTATTACTACCCTGGTTATTGCCTACATCTATAATTGAAGAAAACAAATTTAAGAGGTTAGTGAAATAAAGATAATGTTTTTTTCCTTTTTCCTACACAAGTTTTTGAACTCCTTGGATTCTATCATGGACCCCAGGTTCACAATGCCTGATGGAAAGGGAAGCCCTATTTTTGCCAGTTTCCAATCCACAGGATTTAGGAAATCCTCCATGTGCTCCCAGAAATGACTATAATGGCTGTGTGATTGTTTTAATGATTACTTTGACCATTTACTCATTTCATGAGGCTTAGAGAACTTTGTTCTCTTTAATGGAGAGAAAAAGGAGAATAGTCAATGCTTCCCTTCCTATTCCCAACTGTGTTTATGTTCCTTCTAGAGAAGAACTTCAAATTAATAGGAAAGAAAAGAGACAAGCCCTAAGAAGATAATCAACGTAGAGTATATAGGGACAGAATGAAATAGCTCCCAGCTTAAAATGAACCGTAGTCTAGTCATGTCATTTTACAAATGAGCAAACAAAGCCGAACAGGTTAACTGACTGCAGTGAGTTACAAAAAGAGTTCATGATGGGGGCGCCAGGGCAGCTTAGTCAGTTGAGCGTCCCACTCTTTTTTTTTTTAAAAAAAGATTTTATTTATTTATTTGATTATTTATTTTTTAAAAGATTTTATTTATTTATTTATTCAATATTTATTTGAGAGAGAGAGAGGGAGAGCAGGAACACAAGCAGGGGGAGTGGGAGAGGGAGAAGCAGGCTTCCCACCAAGCAGGGAGCCCGATGCGGGGCTTGATCCCAGGACTCCAGGATCATGACTTGAGCCCAAGGCAGCCGCTTAACGACTGAGCCACCCGGGCGCCCCACTGTAGGTAAACTTTAATTACAAATTACAGAACTTTAGAAAGAAAAAACTTACTTAAAATGTGGCTTTTAAAAAGATGTGTGAGATTCATGTTATTGGGCTTTGATTAAAGATAGTTTTACTGACAATATTCCAAAGTGTCCCTTTTTTGATACCCCAGAAGCTATTTCACCGCAGACAGTGCACAATAGTAAAATGGCTCTTTTTTTTGCCAAAAAGTGGGAGACCCAGATGTGACAGGTGCAAAGGAGAGTAGGTATATCCTTCCACCACATGCACGTCTTCAAGCAGATAAGTTTAGAAAAGAGTAGATATGACATTAAATGTCTGGATATTGATCGTGTTGAAAATTATCTGTGACTTTGTACTGCAGTTATAACCACTATTACTTATAACCCCTGAAATCACTTTAACTCAGCATGAAGTCCTTTATTCTTTGTCTTCAAACCATAGTATTCATGCTCTGTGTTTACGTTCTTCCTCCTTTGATTTAATGACATTCTCAGCTAAGAGGAATCTTCCGATGCTGAGTCAGTTTGCAAAACTTGACAAGCAGCTCAACAGTTCTTCGGATATGGGAAGGAAACAAGTAGAGGATACTTGGAGGGAACAATGAAGATACAGATAAATAAAACAAGGGCTCAGGAATGGGAGGAGGAGGAGGGGGAAGATAGGACACAATGGGGTCAGACAAAGGCGTCACTCACCTTATCTGGGGCAAAGTAATAGGCTGGACACGCGAAACCCTCCCACACAGCATTATTCAAAGCTCGAAGTGCTGAGCCAGGTGTTCTTGATGTCCACCTCCCCTTCCATCACCTGCCCACTTGAGGATGCAAGCCAATGCAAAGGGGCCACGAGAGCAATAGCTTCCCATGAGTCACCTTCTTTGCAATGATCGTGGCACCACATGTTTTTTAATTGAGTTTCTAAAACTGTGTAGAGATTTTGAAAGCATCCACCTTGTCCCAGCTGCTGGGTTTTGAAATCCTGTGTGGCACGTGCCATGAGGCTGCTCTTCCCAGGGGCCCAAACTTGGAGTGCCAGAAAAACATGTTAGATTTAGGATTCCAATGAAAGGCTAATCCTAATGATGATCCTGAATATCCTGGCTTGAGCAAGAGAGGCAGAGAATATGCTAATAAAAGCACTTAGAAGTTGAGGGAGTTTGTCCTCCAGGACTAGTTCTGCCTCTAATTAGCTTCATGACCTTTAACAAGGCCTCAGGGTCCTCAACTACAAATCTGGGCGTTTTACCAGAACTAAATGGGGAAAAGTATCTCCCACAGAGGCAATCAATAATCGCTGTCAGTATAGTGTAGCTGGTATGCTGTAGAGATTCAGTGCATCAAGGCTGGTCATCTCATTTGGTGTCCTACTCCCTAAAATTCAGACTTAGATAAAGTAGACAAAGTGATTTTTTTCGAAGGATTATTTGGTTTGCAAAAAATCAATTTAGCATATAGTAAAACCTTAAAGCCTGTTTCCTCGAAATAAAGAGATCAAATAGTTTGTGAATTTGTGAAACATAATATGGACAGATAAGTCTGAACTATTTCTAGGACTTAATTTTTTCAACAAAATATATCTCCAATCTTGTTGAACTATTCCTTTTCCTTTAATAAGAGAATACAGAGAGCAGTTTATAATAATGTGTGTGTGTGTATGTGTGCATGCGCCCACATATACTGGGGTGGTAGCGCTTTGAGGTGCCAAACTGATAATTCTCTGAAGTCTTCCGAAACTGACTAAAATCTTCTGGGGGAAAAAGAGATTTCCAATAAATCATAAAGCATGTTTAGCTCTTCTGGGCTAGCTTTGGTGAATATAAAAGGCAACGAGAAGAAAGGAAGAAGGAAGAAGAGACTTTTTTAAAAATTAAAGTCTTTGTTAGTTAACTGAGTTCCTAAAGCTTTTGAATACATATTTGTTAGGTTAAGATAAAGGGTTTAACAGAAGTACATCATATGGATAATACTTATATGCTCATGCACACACACACACACACACACACGACACACACATTTAAAGTCAGGAAGCAATTACCACATGAAGATTGAAAGAAAAATTTCCTCAACAGGTGTCTCCAAACTGGTCCACTGATCTGAATCATCCAGTGCTTTTGTTAAAAATGCCGATTACCTGGTGTCTACCTCAAACTCGTTGAGTCAGAATGTTTAGCAGGGGGTACCCATGAGAATTTGTATTTTTAACAAAGACCCAGGTGATTTTTCTCATCAGGGATGTTTGGAAAACTACTCTTCTGTGCAGACTTTCCTACTCCGTTCTAAGATAGCTCTGTCTACAGAGAATTAAAATGGAAAAGTTTCTTTGAGATGTTTATTCCACGGGGTAGGGTGCTAGCTGTCGATGTATTGCCTCTCAGGTTGAGATCCACCCTGCTCTGCCTTGCTTTGTGATACAGGAGCTGAGCCCCAGAAGTATGTTTCCCTTGCCAGTTGCCACAGTTTTAAGCTTTGCCAGATTTCTAGTGTGTGTTCTCCAAGTTAAGTCCTCCCATCTCCTTAAGAACCCACTAGGATTAGGATTCTCCCCCCACCTTTGAAACTGTACGTTCAAGGACCTCCACCCAGCAAATGAAGGTGGATTCCTATCTTTTTACTTGACCATTACCAGCAGTTTTCAACACAGCTGCCCGCGGCTTGACAGACTTTGGTCTTATCCTCCTTGTTTTCCGGTTTCACTGTGTGTCTCCTTTGCTGGATCCTCCTTTGCTCCTGACCTCTGGCTTGGAGATGCCCGACAGCTCAGTCCATGGACTTCTCTTTTCTATCTACACTGAACTCCCTTGATGATGAAATCTTGTGGAATGGCTTTCAATATCATCTATTCGCTGAGGATTC